CAATTATGTGCTTTAATTAAATGTCAACAAATTGAGGTTAAAGAAAGTTAAATCAGTACCATTAGATGAAGACTGGGCCAAGACACAGGCTCAGTATAAATGTGTGTGTCCTAATCCCAGACGAAATTTCAAGACAATAGAAAAGATACACTATACATAAACTCATAAATACTTGATCGATCGATCGATCTATCTATCTATCTATCTATCTATCTCTGTGCATGTTAGAAGGCAAGAAAAGGAGGATGGTTGTGAGTCAGAAATCCTGGCATGGGGGCTCCAAAGGCAAACATATGCAGCAGAAGGAGGCAGCAACTGCCCAGGCAGGAGCAGCTGGAGGGGAGTGCTGGGGGCCACTGTAGGCTGTTGCACTAGAATCACCCAAGGCCTGGATCTTCGCTGCCCTGGCTTTGCCATTAGTGCAGCTGTTTTGACAGAGACCTTGCCATGCCCTCAGGACTGGAAACAATGGGGAGAAATGGGATTGCACATCCACCTGATGCTGCATGGAACACACACACACACACACACACACACACACACACACACACACCAGGCAGCACTGCCCAGCTCTCCACAGAACAGAGACAGGTTAGGCTCAACAGAAGCACCCAAGAGAGGCAGGTGGGGGCTCAACTGCACTGAGGCAAACACAGCGAGAAATTCTCCAAAGTCTGAGGGAACCAGCATCTCCAAGAAAGTTCCAACTCACCTAGCTGGTGCAGGAGGCCCAGGCGACAGTGGGTGGAGAAGCGAAGGATCTTAAATACGGGACTGTACTCAAGGACTAGATGAGCCCGGGCACCATGAAGGAGACCAGAGATGATGAAAGAAGGACTGAGAGCAAACTTTAGAGAACAGTGTGCTGTGAATTAAAGAAAAACAGCACGGCATGGACAGAATAACTAAATCTCTACAAACCAAAATAAATCTTTCCTCCTTTACTGTCAGGTCTCCAAACTAGACCCCCACCCTGCTAGGAAAGAAAAACTCCCCAAATAGATTTGTTATTCACACCTTCGAGAGCTCAGCCTTCAACAGGAAACCCAGCAGCTTCCACACACTCTTCCTCCCCGAAAGTTTAATCTGCCAGCAGGTCTCCCATGTAGCTCAACCAGCTCTCAGCTGCCCTACACAACCTACAGAGAGCCGATTCTGCAAAAATCCACAAGAAACATGCTTTGCCTGCCAGCACTCCCTGTATCCAACACTGCCCTATCACCTAGCCCTAGGCCCCCTACTCAGAGTCCCAAAATTTTGTACACCCTCGGCAGTGCCCACCTCCCCTACCTAAACTGCCCTATAAAACATGTCCTCACCCCTTGTATGGGGCCAACAGTCTTTTTGACCTTGGCCTGGTTGCACCCAGCCTGGAAATAAAGTCCTTGCAAGTTGTTTAAACTCTACCTGTCTCAGAGGTCTCCACTGTGCCTCGGTTTACCCTAACATTTACATTGTGGGTACTGCACCTTGGCAACGAGAAAGTAGAGTTCCCTAGAGGAACAGGATCAATAGTAAATATATACAGAACTACGCAAGAGGATTTACTAAGCAGGCTTACAGGAACAGGGGTGAAATAGTCCACAACAGCTGTCCGCACATTGGAGATGCGGAGGATCAAGAGGCTACTCGGCCTAAGAAGATGGAAGCCACAGAACCAGAGGGATCAAGGATGCAGCACCAGTCTGAGGTTGAAGACTTCACTGGAGAGTCGCCAGTGCGAGTCTGCACTGGAGGCTGAAGACCTGGAGATCAGTGTCCAAATGTGATGGTGACCAGAGCTCTTCAACAAAAATGGGAACGCCTCCTTCTTCTTTCCCTTTTTATTCCATCCAGATGACAATCCTATTGGCCGGTGCCACTCACATCCAAGGTGGGTGTTATGGCTTGTGTCTCCATGTTCCCACAAAGCCTCATGCAGTTGTTGGTGGGACTTTTTCAGAGGTGACTAGATCTAGAGTGTGTGATGCTGGGATTAAAGGTGTGTTATTACTAAATCAGTCCACTGATTAATTTGGCCCCATCCTAATGCCAGTAGCCTAGCTAGAGTACAAAAGGAGCAGAAAGAAGCTGTGAAGGTCCTTTGCTGGCTTTGCTATATTCTACCCACCATGAACTGTTCTCCTCTGCAACGCTTGTCTGCCATTCCACCCTGCCTTGGAGCCAGCCAACTATGAACTGAAACCTCTACCAACTGTAAGCCAAATAAACCTTCCTCCCTTAACTTGGGTGTCAGGTACTTTGTCTTAGCAACAAGAAAAGTAACTAAGACAGTGGATCTTAAGATTCACTTTCTGGCCTACATATCAGCCATCCACAGACACACTCAGAACTCTGCCCCATTAATCTGCTAGGTGTTTGTGAATCCAGTCAAGTTGACATATCATCATTAATGGTCACAGGGAGAGAAGAACAGCTTTAGAGATAGACATTGTAATTATAAAACTGAAAATTCAGTGGAGAGTTTAAACAGGTTAGAAGGAAGATGTTGCAGAAGGAGGAAGCATGGAGAGGGAAGCGTGCAAAGTAATAAGGCTCATAGTTTCTAGAAATGCAGAAAGACATGAATCCTCAAATTCAGAGAGCACAAATACCACACAGGATAAAAATAAATCCACACAAACAAAAGCAAAATACAGAGCACTATGGACAAAGAGAATATATCTACAGAATAACTTAAAAAATCTAGATGAAGTAGGCAATTTTTGAAAAAAAATAAAACTTCCCAAAGTTATGGAAATCAATACTGAACACCTGAAAATACTTTTTGAAGCATACAATTCAGCAGCCATTAGTATATTCACAAATACATGCAATTAGACCTCTATGAGTACCAAAGTATTTTCATCACCCAATAAGGAACCCCAAAGCAAGCAGGAAATCACATTTCATGCACCTTCCCATCTCTACCACTGACAACTATGAACCCACTTTCCACCAGTAGAATTCCCTGTTCTGGATATCACTTGTAAGTGCAGACATAAAACATGTTCTCTTCTGTGTCTGGCATCTGTCACTTCCCATGTTCACAATGCTCACCCATTTGCAATGTGCATCAGAGCTTCATTCCTATTTATAGTTCAGGACACTTCATGGGATGGATGGACCATATGTTGTTTATCCACTCATCTGTCCACGGACACTTCAGTTGTTCCCACATTTTGGTTATGGGGAACAGTGTTGCTGTGAATATGCATGTAAGTGTTTGTCTGAATAACGACTTTCAATTCTTTTGGGACCATCCCACCAAACAGTGGTTTTTCTGGGTCATATGGCAATTCTGTGTTTAACTTTGTGAAGAATGGTCAAACTGTTTCACAGTGGCCACCCCATTTTACAGTCTCACCAAGCTGAGCATGGTGGCTCATGTTCCAGCTACTGGAAGCCTGAGGAAGGAAGATTACATGCTCAAGGCCAGCTTGGGCAACTTAGTGATTTAGAGAGATTCTGCCTTAAAAAATAAAAAGGGGTGAGGAGGTAGCTCAGTGTGTGAACCTGAATTCAATTGTTGGTGCCACAGAACAAAAGAAAAACTTTCTCACCAACAGTATCTGAGTTCCAGTTTCTGCACATCTCTACCACTACATTTTGACTTTTAAAAATTACATTATAACCATTCCAGTGCATATGACATATCTCATTGTGCTTTAAATTTGCATTTTCCTGATGAGTAATGATGCCAAGGATATTTTCATATACATGGTGGCTGTTCGTGTATCTTCTTTGGGAAATTACTCAGATTCTTTACTTGTATATGTGGTCCTGGGGACTGAACCCAGGGACTGCACATTGAGCTACATTCTCAGATCTGTTTCCACATTTTGAGACAGGGTCTCGCTAAGTCACTGAGTTGCCCAGGCTAGGCTTGAACTTGTGCCTTCTATTTCAAGTCTTCCAGAGTGATGGGATTACAAGCATGTGCTACTACACCCAGAGTACACATTTATTAAAGTTAGGTTATCTTTTGCTGTTGAACTCTGTTTCTTTTGTAACTTATGCTATTTATTAAGAGACATAGTGAGATATAAATTCATATACCAAACAGCTCTATTTAAAGAGTAAAATTCAGGTTTTAGTGTATTCAAAAATATATGTAGCCATTACTATATCAATTTTAAAACTCTTTCATCAGCTCAAAACAAATGTCAACCTTTTAGCTCTTACCATCCCTCCTTAAGCAATGACTAACCTATTTACTGTGTGTATAAATGTATTCTGAACTTATATAGGAATAGAATTGTATTCTATGTGGTCCTTCATGACTGATTTTTTTCACTTACAAATTTTTCAGGTTTCATTAACATTGTATCATGTATCTGTCCTTCATTCCTTTTTGGAGCTGAATAATATTCCACTGTGTAAATATACCACATTTTTTAATCTATTCACTTAAATGTTTTTTATCAGAAACATGATTTGCAAATATATTTCCAATTTGGGGGTTGTGTTTTCACTTTCTTGTTGGAACCCCTTAAGATACAGGAACTTTACATTTTGATGAAGTGAGTTATATCTAGTTTTTTCTTTTGTTATTTGTGCTTTAGGGGTCAAGAATCCAAGAATGCTTTGCCAAATCCACAGTCATGACAATTTAGCTCCATGTCTTAAGAGTTGCTTAGTTTCATTTCTATGTACAGGCACTAGGTCTGATGCATTTTGAGTTAACCTTGGCAGGTGAGGCCAGGCAAGGGTCCAACTTCATTCTTCCTCATGTACTAGTTTCTCCAGCACCACTGGTTGAAAAGATTTCTTTTCCTTTGAATGGACTTGGCACCTTTGCAAGCGCAACGTCGTGAGTTTGATTCCCGCTACCAGAAAAAAAAAGCTAACAATATGTAATATAACAATCAGTGTTTATCTCTATCATTTGGTTTGAAACCCTGTATCATTTTTAATGTCCTTGCTTTGTGTTGTCTGTATTTTGCTATTGTTCTTTTCTTTTTGTACTATTTTCTTTAAAATAAAAAAAAGTAAAACAAAACAAAACAAAACAAACTATGTCATCTGTAATCCAGCACTTTCATGAAAGCAGAGCTTTCTTAGAGGAATGAAAAGATGTCTTACAGGTAACGTTAGGCACAATACAGAGGGTCTAATCACTAGTATCCATTACCTAAAAAAACACACCAGTGTCAATTACCTAAGCAAATTACCTAAATAAAGAAGCTCCAAAAGCTAGTGGCTTAAACAAGTCAGCAACATTTTACTCTACAGTAACAGGTCAAAGACAACAGTCCAAGCCTGGCAAGCCTTCCCTCCATCTTCTGGTCCACCATGTGCTGCAATGCCAGGGCAGGCTTAAGGTCCTGGGGCGCTCCACCCAGCAAGCAGGGGCTGTCCAGGGTGGAGCACAGCCCAGTAGTCACACATGACCCCATGTGGAAGTGCTGTATCACCCCACTTAGGAATTTGCTGCATGGCTACCATTGGCTACCAATCCAAGAAGGCTGACATTCACTGTATATTCTTATCACCCCTTGCACACTTGTGTAGTAACTAATTAAAAAAAATCTGACAAAAATTTTAAATCTTTTATTCATATTGATATACACATTAAATATATTTATATTGCACAAAGAATTTAATGTTCTAAAAGTTAGGTTTTATCTAAATAAGTTACTCTGTCTTGTCAAAACCACTTGCATAGAGCACTGTGCTCCCTGTCCATCCACCAGGAGCATGGGAATGTGTTCAGAGATGTCCAGCCTGACACAACCCCCAGAAATCAGGGCACAGGGCACAGCTGCACGGAGACAGCCTCACGCTCAATGCACTGCAACTTGTGATAGATATTTTTAGTTGAAGACAAGGCTACACCTTCTCTAGCTCAGTATGATTTAAACTTCTGACACTACAAATAGGAAGTCTTCAGAACAAAGGGACACAATGTTTCTACAGGCTAAGTATTATAAACATAAAAATAATGGAGAGCCCCCCAGAAGCGAACCAGCCATGAGTTTCGACTTCCTCTGAGCCAGGTACTGAAAGTTGGGACTTACTGACCTTAGTAATCCCTTCTATGGTAAAGTGAAGAAAGTAATATAATTTTCCTCCCCAAATACGTATATTAGCTGAAATGCTAAGAAACAAAGCTGAGGGATAGAAGTAAAGCTGCACTGCCAGAGATCCATAAATCCAGGTACAACAAACTGAAGTGAAAAGCAAACCACTCAAGTAGGAGAGTCATAGCACAGGGGAAGATGGGGTGGTGACTGCAGCCAGACAGAGGAGAAGCCACCACCAAACAGCATTGAAGTATGAAGGCACCGGCTCCACCACAGGGGAGCACATGTGCAGGCCAAGTGCACGGGATGCCTGCCACACAGGGACAGGCCAGGGCCCTGGCTGTGGTCTGTAGGGACACTCCTGGGCGGGCACACGTTGCCTGGTGCACTTACTAGTGGTTCTGCTTAGATTTTTCATTTAATTTTTAAAACTTGGTAACACATTTCAACTTCCCCAAAACCAACAGTTACTGTAGGAGGGGAAAGGACACTTTTTGCTTAAAGTATTGCCAGGACAAACTGACCACATGACTTTCTCCAGACAGACATCTTGGTATTTATTAAAAAGTTACTTCCTGCTTTACTCCTGGAAACACCTGCAGCAGGACGGGCAGCCCAGGGGCAGAGCCTGCACTCGTGTGTGAGGTCCTGCTCTCAACCCTCAGCACCGAAAGTGAAAATTTAAAAACCTGTCAACGTAATAGTAGCTTAAAAGGAGACTGTTTATAAAGGCAATCGTTTTGTAAGAAAACAAACCTGATCTTTTTTGGGTGACAAATGGTAAATTTAAGCATTTAAAAGTTATGCAGCAAAATACTGCTGCTGTCAAATATTGATGGCCTAATGCACTGAACAGGTCAACTGAATGGAAGTCATGTTTCTAGCACCAATAAGAAAACAGACACCTGCCCACAAACTTCTCCAGGACCACAAGGCGCTTCCAGAGAGCCACTTTTGGGCAAAGGAACAAATGTGCTGCAAGGAGCAACTGCTAGGTCCCTGATTTTATAACATAATTTCTAGTCCCACCCCCAAGCCCAGTACTTTCTGTAGTCAGCATTATTAGGACTTTTCAGCCTGAGGAAAAGAGTCCCCTTCCTCAGTTCTGGTCACGAGGTAGATGCCGAGTGAAGGAAGAGCAGGTTGCAAGCACAGGCAGGCTCAGAAGCCCGTGCTGCGAGTGACAGGGAGGACGCTGGGCTCAACAGTACTCCGGCTTGAGTCTCCACACCCCCTCCCCGCTGGGCGTCCTGTGAAAGGTGCACAGGTTCCTCAGCAGCTCCCGGAAGACACAGGACTGTGCTGCGGACAGCTTGGACTCGAACTCCTGCAGGATCTCACGGGTGCTGGCCTGACCGTCCACGCGGGCCTGGAAGGCAATGAAGTTCCTCATCTCCACCAGCAGGTCATCATGCTCGGTGGTGTGGGGCGGCGGCGCAGACACCTCTGGTATGTGCCCGTTTTCACTCTCCAAGCGCTCGGGCAGGATCAGGTGGTTTCTTGCTCTCATCCTGGCCAAGAGGGAGGAGGAGGTGGGGGCGCCAGAGGAAGAGTCCGTGTCCTCTGCTTTTCCACTGAAGTGCTCAGACGCGCGCTCTTTTCCTTCCCTTTTCACCACACCGTCCTGCAGAAAGAAGGTGGCTGCACTGATACACTGGATTTCAATGTTATGTATCCACTTCGCTCCCAGAGGCAGTGAGGGACCCCCAATCACTTGTGCACCAGGCCGGGGACCTCAGACGGACACTATGTATCACAGCCCAAGGAGAGGCTGACATCAGAGTCCAGCAGATATTAATGTTTCCTAACACAGCAAATGAACAGAGAAGAGGGCTCCTAGGCCACATCCCGGGCAGCGCGCTGAGTGAGGGTGGAGGGAGGTGCAGGGCTGCCCGGACGGGCACAGAGGGGCACCACACCACCTTTCCTCTCCCTTCACTCACCAGTCCTCATCCATTCTATGTTACACCTCACAGCAACACAAATCTCACCTGGCAAGCGCTCTAGACTCCTACCGCTAAAAGCACAGAACGTAGCAGGTCAGAAAGGTTTGATTCTGGAACAGGTTCACAGTCATCTAAAATTGGGAATCTCCAAGTTTTATCCTTAACACAACCTTCACTAGCAATACAGTGCTGAGGCAGGCCTGAGACCCAGTTCACTGTCCCGGAAGCACTGGGGGCATGTGGGGTGCTACAGAGCTGGGAGGCAGGGAGTTCCACCCGGCCGCTCCCTGGTCCTGGGCTAGCACATTCCAGGTGGCTTCCTGAACCTTCACTCTACCAGGTGGAGATCTCCGCAGTGGGCCGGCCCCTGAAACAGGCAGGATGTACTCTCAGGTGGCACGCCTGTCCCTGTACCAGCTTTCTAAGCACAGGGCAAAGATGCTGACTCGGGCCCTGGTTTTAGTCCGTCAAGGGCCCTTTTAGATTCCAGGGAAAGCACATCACAAATCAGAGCCCACAACACAGATGTCAGCACTGGTGGTAACCATGTCTTTCACACTCACAAAGGGATGAAATGCAATCAAGCATGTCTCACATGTGGAAAGCGAGCTATTCTGTTACCTGGCATTTTTCTGTTGATGACGACGACGAAGTACACTGCACAGAGAGGTTAGAGTTCCTTTTCTGACCAAATCTACTCCTAAATAAGGAAAAGAGTCACAGGAGATAAAGGTCAGCTTTTGAGACTGAAGAGACCAAAATGTTCATTTACTGACAACTAACTCTTCCGGGAAAACTCATCTCCGTGGCTGTTCTTCCAGAGCTGCGCTGTTTCACCCCTTGGGCTCCTTCACCCCGCTCTGCCAGGGAAGCCAGGCTGCAGGCAAGTGATTCCAAAGGGCTGCTCAACAGCCTCGCTACTGCTTCAAACTGGCTGATCAAACCGAACTTAAAAGTTTAGTTACTATTCAGTAGCTCCTAATATTTATAACAACACAGTTTCTCAAACAAAACTGATCACTTCTCCCACTCAAGGTCTGGTTTGGAAAGCCAGGGACAAAGTGAGGGAGGTACAGTGACAGTGGCATGCCCAAGTCACCCAAACCCATACTGGCCCAGGTTTCCACTGCTGCAGTAAGAGTCTGAGTGTGCATTCTCGCCCTGACTGTAGCCTGCCCCCACTTCTGGCCACCCTGTATATGCAGTGGGGAGAAGCTCTCACTTCACTCCAGTGCCCCTGTGGCCGGTCCAGGTGGGAACACCAGACAGGGCTCCCAGACACTGCTGACGAGACAACCGTAGGGCTTTCAAGGCATCCTGCGCCACTCGGTTAGCTTCCGCCTCCACAAGCACGTAGTCTGGGTTGGCACCGTCCATGATGGCATCGTGCTTCACCACACTGTGCACACCCACTAGCAGGGAGAGAAGAAACAGTGTGAGCAAGACTGCGGATGCACACTGCCTTGCCCCTTTCCTAATGCTCTCGCACTGTGAGAGACAAAAAATAACACATGAACTGTTCTTTCCGGAGTTCTGCTGCGACCTGAGAATGTCGAAAAGGCAGGTTCTACTCACACAAGTGCCCCACTGGGGAGTTAGATGTGATCCCTGTTTTAGAATAACCCAAGAGAAGGCTTTAATCACAACCTTAACACTTAATCTCTTTCCTGCCCCTAGGAAGAAAAGCAAGTGCCTCCCATTAACATTTCAATGAAGGGAAAAATCAAAGTCAGAATTACAGAATTTCTAAAAAATAATGATCATGAAAAGAGTAACATGTCAGAGTAACTGGGATAAAATTAATGTAGTCATGGTGGAAAATTCATAACCTTGAAGACATATCAATGAAAATGAAAGAATAAAAGTGAGTTAAGTTTCCAAGAACAAGTTATAAAAAGAACAAATTATGTTTTAAAAAAGCCACCAAAATTTCAACATGAACAAATTAGCAGGAATAGAGTAATAAAGATAAAAGCAAAAGTAATTTTTAAAAAAAGCAAACTACCATAGATCTAGTTAGTAAATCAAAATCCTGGCTTATTGGAAAAAAAAAAATCACACACTAGCTATTCCTCTATCTTAGCTTAATCAAAGAAAAAAATAAATATATGATTATAAATGACAAGGAAAGCATTGTCTTAAAACAGAAGCAAATTAAAAAACTTTCTAAGAGTATCTTATATATAAGTATGCAAACTTGAAAAGTAGACAAGATAGACAAGTTTCTAGGAAAATAGACCATAACACAGAAGAAACAAAGACAGTTACCAGTGATAAACATAAAACAGGAACTACAGAGCAACATCATTTATGGACATCAATGAGAAAATATTAGTTATAACATTAGCAAATGGAATTCAACAACAAAGAAAATAATACACTATATATAAACAAATAGGCATCATCTAGGAATTCAAGGTTGGTTCAATCTGAAGAAATCCATTATCTAATATTATATTAGTTTCAGTATCATCCATAGGTGGTATTTCTAGGCAAGCATGCTACAACTAAGCTGTTCCTTCAGCCCTACACATGATAATTCTAATACCTTTGACAAACTTTGAAAATACTCAAAAAATTGGGAATTGATCAATGTTGCTTTATACCTTAGGCTTAACATCAGAATCTTAGTAAGGAAACACTAGAGGTTATTTCCACTAAGACTGGGAAAGCTAAGATGTCCATTATCTGTAATACTTACTATTTAACATTTAATTGGACTTAGAGATGTGAATTGAAAAGTAAAAAAAATTATTTTTGCTTTTAAAAAATGGTTAGGATTAAAGCTGAGGCCTTGCTCATGCCAGGCAAGCAATCTACCGTTGACCTATACCTCCAACACCTCCTATTCCACCTTTTTAAAAGTTTGAGTCAAGATATTGCTCAGTTGCTCAGGCTGGCCTCAAATTTGCAAACCTTATGCTTCAGGTTCCCAGGTAGCTGGGATTACAGGTGTGTCACTTCACCCAGCCTTTTTCAAATTTTTAAATACTAATACACCTAGAAACCCTAAAAAAAAAAAAAAATCAATGGTGAAACTTAGTAAGTCAGTGGTGACAACACAGAAAATTAACCTACAGAAACCTATAGCCTTCCCACTCACACACAACAGCTAAAGGGTAAAATGGTGGCGGTGGGGAAACCCCCTATACAATGGCAGGTAACATAAAATAGGAATAAACCCAAGAGATTTGCAAACCTTACATGGACAGAATTTTACAATACTCCCCAGGAGGGCATTTTATTAGGCCTGAACAGATGCAAAGACTTCACTTGTGCTTGACCAGGCAACTCAGTAACTACTGCTCTTCCTGCTAACTTACACGCTTAGGACCATCCTACCAAGGTACCAACAACCTTGTTCATGCAGCTAATAGGCAAATACAGAAGTTTGCCTGGAGAAGTCAACTGGTGCGAATCTCTAGGAAGACCATGAAAAGGTAAAGCTGTGCCAGATGGAGAGAGAGTGGGCTCTGCTGCAGGTCTGTGTGAGGAAGGACAGACATATGAGGCAGGGACTGACAGCGAAGAGCAGAAGGAGATGCTACCACGCAAGGGATGATACTGCCAGGAGCAGGAGAGTCAGTGAGAAAAAAGGATTTAAATACACAATGTGAGGAAAGCTGGCGAATTGTTACTCAAATGTAACAGAGGTCACAATTCAGAAAATAAAAACCATCCACACAGCAGAGGAAAATGTGGAGAATTCCTGTATTAGCTAAGAATAGAAAAGGCTTGCTAACTATGACTAAAATTAACAACAGAGAAGACTGATACATCTGAATACATTTTTAAAACTAACTTTTCTATGGGAAAGTATTGCTGTAAGTAAAACAAGGCAAACAGAGAAAATGTTTACAATTACATGAAAAATAAAATAAATACAGATATTAGAGCTAATGTTCTTAACTTATAAAGAACCCCCCCCAAAAAAAACCAAGGAGGGAAAAGACCAAAAACTTGACTTAAAAAGTAGGAAAAAGATGTAAGAGCAACTCACATGAAAAAAGAAAAAAAAGACACAAATGGCCCTATATATGTTACTCAACTTCATTTATTACAAAATAAATGCAAAATTAGCACTAAGATGAGCTCATATTTCTTACCATTCAGACTGGCAAAAACTATAAACGTAACATTCTCTTGCCAGGCTCTGGGGAGAGACACTTGTGCAATGCTGGTGACAATTCACTTTGATTTATCAACATATGCGAGGGAGCTGGGCATTATCTCAAAAAACCCAAAAATTTCTACATAGGTGCAATGCGACTTGGAATTTTCTCTGAGGGAGGTAAACTTCTAATAATACTAAAAGATGTAGACACAAGATGATTTACTGCAGCATTACGATTGAGAAAAAACCGGATAATGGAAATGCTCAACTGTGAATAATAAGGAAGCAGCTCTACGAACAAACATGGAGCAATTGTCAGGATACATGATGTTTTTAAAAAGGAACAGAAGAGCATACAGTGATCCCTTGGTTCCTGAACTTAATTTGTTTCACGATTCTGGGGAAGATGGCCATGTTTGTGTTCAAGCAAGGAAGATGGCAGGGAAGCCGTGTTCATCACCTGATCTGGGGTTTGCAAACAGAAGCAAAATTTTGCCAAATGCATCTGTTTGCAAACCAAACTGAGTGTTTATGAACTGAAGTATTACTGTACAGGGAATATGAAATTATACACATGTGCCTGCTTATTCTGGCAGAAAGAAACCCCTGGAGGAAATGCCAAAAGCTGATGGGACTGAAGAGAAAGGGTGGAGGTAGGATGGAAGGTGACACTTCTCTGAGCTACCTTTCCCTATAGTTTTGCCTTCTGTAACTATGTTAATGCTACAAATTCACGAAGTAAAATAAAATACAGTCAACAATGTATACAGAAACAAATGAATGAAACTTATTTTAAATTGGCAACTGTTACCAGCTGTGAAACACAACGAAGGGGAAGTTCAAGAAACATGTTTTATTCTTTTTTGTTTTTTTTGTACCGGGAACCAAACTCAGGACCTTGCGCTTGCCAGGCAGGCGCTTGTGCCACTGAGCTAAATACCCTGCAAAATGTGTTTTATTCTGATGCCTGGTGGACTGAGCAACTTTGCTGAAGATAACAGTATTGTAATGTGGCAGCCATTGTTGATTCCTATCATTTTGATTTGAGGTCATGTATCATTTTTGTTGTTTTTGTGTTGTCTTGATTTTGTCTTCATTGTTGTTTTGTTAGTTTTTTTAATTAAAAAAAAAAAAAAAAGACACGTGTTTTGAGGACAACAAGTAAAAGCAGATACCGAGCTCTGGCTGAGTCTGCGGAGGCACCAGCCGGACAGGCAGCGTAGAGGCCCTGTCAGGTCTGGGCCAGCTTCACCTCCTTTCCCACCACATTTTCCATCTCTCCACACAGCAGTGCACGTGTTGGCTCAGCCACTGTGGACCCGATCTTGCTGGGCACTCACACATCCCTGGAAAGGCCCAGGTGAGGCTGAGAGAATGCTAACTCTAACCACTCCTACAGCAAGGACCCTTCCTCTAATACCACCCAGTGCGCGACAGAACACTGAGGCTCCAGGGCTGCTTGGTGGGCATGGGCAGGGTGGGGAACTGAGTCCTCATCCTTCCTCCATCCTGTGCAGGCCTCAGGAGCTCCCTCACACCAAAGTGCCAGCAGCACTCAGCTGAGGTCCACGAAGAGTCTCTGCAGGTGGGTGGGGTCCTCTGTTGTACTCTGTCCTGTCAGCTCCTTCCACTCTGTGTTCTTGGCATGGAGACAGTATGGGGCTCTGTCTGGTTCCCCTCTTCCGTCAGCCCAAAACCTCTCAAGGCTGCTGGGGAAACAGCAGCAACTGGAGGCTTCAGTTCACCTCCCATCTCTCAAAGATCACTTACCGACTGCCCTCTGGTACCTGAGAACCACTGTCTCATAGATCCTATCCACATCTCAGTGGTTCCGACTGGGAGAGTAAGTGCTATTCCATCCTCGCTGGAAGCCAAAGTCATGGCTGTACAGACAGATGTGTGTGTGCATATCTGTACATGTACACATGTGCATACAAACACACATAAACATACCTATACATGCATGTGTTGCCAGCTCTGCAGAGAAGCAGTGACAGCACTAGCAATGAACCTCTGAGAAGCCAGATCCTACTTTCCAAAAACTATTCTCCAGGGTTCCCTGCAAAAGCGACTGATGCTAGGGGTGAGAAGAAAAGTAAGAGTGGAACTCAGAAAACCTTTGGGGCACCAGGAGGTCAGCAGGTGTTCAAGGAATAATAAGAAAAGGCCAAGACAGGAGAGCAAAACGGAGCTCTGGCAGGCAAATCTAAGGCAACACTGTACCACAGTAATATTAAGAGATTATAGTCATGAAAGAAAATGTATAGGTGTCACACTGATAGAAAAATAAATCCTTTTTTTGGTGGGAGGGTGCTGGGGATGAACACATGCTAGGGTCTGATGCACGCTAGGCAAATGCTCTACCATTAAGCTGCATCCCCAGCCCTCTGAATAAAGAAACAAACCAGTGGGGAGGAAAACCTTCTTTACAGTGGGATGCTAATCACCGTGTGGCAACCACACCAGTACTAATCGACTGAGGAAGAGTCACTGATGGATTCTAAAGCTAGTCAATGAAAGTTTGAGGAACAGAACGTCTACATGGCCCCAAAGAATATTAATTACAAAGGAAAATAAGTATTAGAGCTGAGAAATCTGGCAGACCTCACCTCAACTAGGTGACCTTAGCCAGTGACAGAACAAACCAACACATGCTCCTGAGAGGTATATGAGAGGGAATACTACCACTTTTGCGGTCTCCTGCCAGGACCCAGGTATGTTCGCACATGCACGTGAAGGGTAAGGAAACACTGCAAACATTAACCATGGAGTAAGGCAACAGCAGAGTTGCGTGCACTATTTCAACTAAGTTTGAAACTATCTCAAGGTAAAAAATTAAGAAAGCAATGTAATCATGTTAAATATAAGTCTTTCTGAAGTGCCACACACATCTGTCTTCTCAGAGGAACCTGCAGCCCTTGGTGGTGACAGCTCTCGCCATGTGGACATGGTGGCCACTAAGCTGAAGAGGGCCGTCCTGGAGATGGCTAAGCATGGAAGGGCTCAGCCCCACCATGGTCTGAGCAGTGTTATGTCAACCTCCCCTAGTGTTTTCCCTGGACACTGTACTATCAGCTCTTGTACATCCAGAATGTCTGCCCCTCACCATACTCCTACAGTGTCATCTCCCATGGCTGGAAAACCAGATTATATAGCAGGTGAGGAAGGTGTACACATCCATCCAAAGCCTCACTCTTCTCCTGTAAGTGGTTGTATGTTAATTACTATTGCTTCATTGTACAGAAATACCTGGAAGAAAAACCTACTCCTTCAGATACAGCAAGAGGATTGATGCAGTCTTTGGAACATCACAACATTTCAAATCTGAATTCAGGAGAATACTCCTGGCTGCCAGGCTGCATACAGCCTTGCACCCCATGGCGCAGGCACCAAGGACATTACCTGACTTCTTGAAAAGCTTTTCTAGAACATAGTCATCACCACTGCGGGCCCTGGCTTCCGTCTCGGGATCTGTGTCGTGCCTGTGGTACCGCCTCCTCTTCACCAGGTGTGGCACTCTTGTGCCCTCAAACTTGGCGTCTCTGCAGTGCTTGGTGCTCTCAGGCTTCTGCTGCTTCTCCAGGTCTCCCTCTTCCACCACACCCTGATGCTTTGTTTTTGACTTGTGCTTACAGGAAGGACTTCTCACCTGACCATTCTCCCAGGGAGGTTCTGCTGGAACCTGGCTGCTGTCTCCATCACAAGAAGGGCCCTGCTTTGCAGCAGCGCTTTCCTCGCCAGATGGCCCGGGGGCTCTTCCAATTTGTGGGGAATTGGAGCAGTTCCCATTTCCACTGGTCACTGGTGGCTCCTCTGGTCCAGACACTGCACTTGTCTCTTCTCTAACCCCATCACCAACAGTCACCCTGCCACCTGGCTTGGGGTCACCCTTCAAAGGGCTACCTGCACTGGAAGTTACTTCAGGCCCTGCTGCCTTAGATTTATCTTCAGCTGATGCGGTCACATTTGCAAGTGTGTTAGAATCTGGGAACTTCTTGCATTTTGGAACATCGTGGTCTGTGCCAAAGGCTGGCAGAATTTTCCTTTTCAAATGGCGTTTGGGTGTTGGAACATCTGAACCAGTTCCTATACAAGGGAAAGCACAGCTGATTCCAAGTGTACAATTCTTATGTAACTTATTATCTTACATTAAAGGCCTTTCTGCAGTACCTGCAAAAATAGCACTTGTTTCAGTGCTCTGGGATGCATCAGGGCTGGTGAGAGTAAATAGCTCATAAAGGTCGTTGGATTTGAAGAAGCGCCTTTGCTTTGGATCTTTTAGCACTCTGTTTGTCAAAAACTGCTTGAAGATTTGTCTGAAAGGATAAAAATTAAGCGGACATGGAACAATACTTAGTTCTACTTGCATAGTTCAATTATGAAACAATGTGAGACAGGTCATAGCTGCAGCTGAACGAACAGCTAAATAATGCCTGAATTTTCAGCCTTGAGAAATTACAGTTCAGCAAGTATGTAATGCTTCAGACGGTTAATGTTTTACGGAATTCAATCAGAAATACTACTTGTTGTTTTTGTTCAATGAGTTTTTTGAACCTGCAAGGATCACTACATTTCAAAAAATGCCTTTTCACACACGAGCCCATGGCCCATAGCCTCCCTGGGCTTCGAGGACCTGGCCTCCCTGGCCCTGGTAAAGGGCCCTCTCAGGAAACTCTCACCCAGGCTTCACAAGGTCCTCGCTCTGACCTGTCTCCACCGTGCTGTGTCAAAGGTCCACCTGCCGCCCTGTGGCCCAGGTAGCTCTACAAGGTAGCACAGCATCTGTGCTTGTGTGGAAGTGCCAAAATGCTAGCTTCCACTTTGCATCTTTCATAATTTTTCTACAGGAGGGAGGAACACTTCTCTCAGGTAACAGTGAATATCAACTTTACACATAAGTGGCCCTTAAAGTAGACTCAGGTACAACAATCAGGTTTAAAAGCATTTTTTAAAAAGCTCATAATAACTTCTAAGTTTATTTTAATGGCAAAGAAAAAATACGAAACAAAACAAAAATTTCTATCTTTTAAGTTACAGCAAATAGTCTAACATGGAAGCTATTTTACAACACTTTAAAGTTGTCTCCACTCAAACCCCAGATGCACAAAGTGGAGGCTTGGCAGTATCTCACTGACCGGTGGTAAATCTTTTCCTCAATGGTGCCAGCCGTCAAGAGCCGATATACAGTCACCTGCCTCTTCTGGCCTATCCTCCAGGCTCGCTCCCGGGCCTGCAGCAGACAGAGACAGCTCAGCAAGGACCCTGCTGGGAGGGGATGATGGTGGAGGGACATCAAGGTGGAGGACTGCTGCCTTTCACTTGCAGAGTCAGAATTCTGGCAAGTGTGGTCAAGGCCATGCACATCCTAAAACCCACCCGTGTGGACAAACAGCCACTCACAGAACAGAACTAGACACCTGGATCTGAAAATTGAGTTCCCAGCTCTGCATGTGGTCCCTTTACCCCATGCCTAGGAGTGGGCACTGCAGATAAACTGCTGCAGACCCAAAGTGCAGACGGTACTCTGGAGCCAACTAGAACATGGGAGGATAACTACAACCACGACACTGTTCTCCTTTGTTTTCGTTTTAAGGTACGAGACAGACCTGCGTATCAGTGCTCGGGTTCCAGTCAGGGTCGTAGATGATTACTCTGTTGGCCCCAGTCAGGTTGACGCCTATGCCACCCACCCGCGTGGTCAGAAGAAACACGAAGATGGATGCATCCTGCAGGCAAGACATGAGATTCAATGGGAGTGTCAGAGCCCCAGCCCTGAGCCTTGGGCTGCTCACACCACACCCAGGGTGCCTGTGCCACTCCCAGGGAGAGCGGTGATTATGGCCTAGAGAACTCTGTGAAGACAGACCTCATCTCACAGCTCCCACTTTTAATATTAATTCTGTCAGGAATAGTTACAAACTCGGTTTCTAAGGAAAACACTTCCTTTACACACACACACACACACACACACAAACCTTGTGCAACATCCCCACGATCTCCAAGTGCATAGCAATAAAGGCAGAAGGTCCTGCTGCCTGCTGCCCAGCCCCAGAGGATGGCAGCCCAGGTGGCCATGGCTGCCACAAAGCCAAACTGCCTATCTCCTCCCTCATGGCTGTTACTACCTCATTGTATCTTGCGATCAGTGGCTGTCGTGAGGCGATGGTAGTGCTGCCATCCATCTTGAGGTAGGAGTATCTCTGGGCTCTCAGGAACACTTCAAGGATATGCAGCATCTAGCGGAGAGAAGACTGGTACACCTGGGTCCATAGCCGTGCCTTCCCCAGTGGGCCCATGCAAAAAGAGATTTTTGTTCTAAAGTGGAGAAATGAAACTGCTACAAGAATATTTTTGGTATTTCTTACACTTAATTTTTACAACTTTTGTTAAGTAGCCCAAACTCAGGTCTAAACTCACCTGGACACCAGAATCACTTCACAGGCTTTTTAAAAAAGTCAAGTCAACCACTTCCAGAGAAGAATCCAGCCTTGCAAAGAGCTCTGCAGGTTGCTACTTAGCATCCACGGCAGACTTGCTCTGGAAGCATTCCTTTAGGTTATAGCTTACTTTTTAAATTAAACATCGTAAGTCCTATGAATCAACTTGTTTCTTGAAGTCTGCACTCTCACCTGTCTCGACTGAGAAAACAGTAGCACTCGTTGACCCTGTTTGTGCCATATTTTCAACAAAGACTCAACAACAATCATCTTCCCAGAACGCTTCCAGTATCCAAACTGATCTTCTTCAAGTTCATTATCAGGAAGACTGCCGAGATTCTTGGGCCCTCCAGAGAAGAGATCAGGGTGGTTGCAGATTTTTCTTAGGGCTACAAGTCCAGAAAAAATCTGCAGTGCAAAACAATGTAAGTACACTTGATTACCTTACAAATATAGTGAGGAAAGATGGACTAGAAAGAGGATGTTCGTATGTGACATGGATTAAAGTCATTCTTTTCTGAGCTTCTTCCCTAATCACAGCATTATTAGAAGTTGGGAGAATTAATTTTCATTCATCTTCCCCAGTCAAGACAACTTCTTAGGAAACAAAACAGCTCTACTGGACTGAACATGTCCACAGTAGAGGTCATATTCAATGGCCAATAACTCATTTCCCCTCACTAGAAAAAAAGTTACACAGTTCACAGCATTGTAAACTTGATACAAAAAACCCATTGTTACAGTTTAGATATGACATGTCCTCCAAAGACTTAATGTGCTGAGGGCTTGATCCACTATGTCCAGACGTTCAGAGGGGCCTAGAGAGGTGACTGGATCAGGAGGGGGCAGACTTTAAGAGCGGATGGATCCACGGATGAGTTCATAGCTGATGGGCTAAAGAGGCGGGGTGCAGCTGGAGGAAGCGGGTCACTGGAGGCGCACCTTGAAGGCATACCTTGTCCCAGGCCCTTCTTCTCTGGCTTTCCCCTTGCTGGCTCTACTTTTTGCTGCCATGAGGTAAGCAGCTCTCCCCCACCATGATGTTTCTGCTTTGGCATCAGCTGACCATGGACTGAAACCTCTAAAACCATGCGCCAAAATAAGCCTTACCTCTTTTAAATGATACATGTCAGGCATTTTGCCTCAGCAACAGAAAGTAAAGCAATACACCCAGTTACCCTGAAAATGCAGATCAGAAATATCATGCATGCCAACCTAACTTTGGAGAAATCAGACATACGATGAATCAAGTGAATAAGCACCTTACTAGAAGTTAGCTTAAGGTGTGAGTCAGAAATTAAAACTCATTTATCTTCTCTGTATCAAAGAATGAATCTGTGTGGGAAGATAGGGATGGTACCCTGTGCATCAGAAGCACAAAATGAGCACACCCTGGCTCCAGCCCTGGCCTTGGTCCTGTACCCAACCAAGGGCCCTAAATGAACTATAAGAATGGGCACTCATAGCTTTCAGAGTGTGACTCAAAGCAAACCACTGGCACACAAGCTAAAGTGCAAAGCAAAACTCATAGTTTAAGGCTGCAATCACAGGGTATTGCAATTTTAACTAGGAAACAGCCCCTAAACAAATAAGGGTATGAGCAAGTTAATACTGTCGAAACTCTCCAAATAGTCTTCTCTAACTTGTATTTTCCCACCAGACCTGTGCCACCTAACACAGTAGCCACATGCAGTACAAAGCATGTGAAGTATGGCAGGGCTGCCCAGCAATTTGTAGGGGACAGGGCTTCTCTAAGAAACTGACGAAACTCGAGTCCTCATGACCTTTTCCTTATAAAAGAGGATTTTGGTTCTAATTCCAGTAAAATCCAGCAACTCACCTGACACTCACCCCTGCCTCTGGCTGTCCTGGGCTCCCCCTGCTGAGCTCAGGGCTGCCACTTCCTGGGGCCTTGCTCCTCCTCTGCCCCTGAATGCTGTAGCGGGGCTACGTGTTCACCCCATGGGCCCGACATGAGTAAACTGAGATGAAATGATGGAGATCCCCCGCAACCCTGCCTCCCTTGGTCCACAGCTCATCTTTCCAGCTCCATCTCTGTCTGACCTGCATCTCCCCGTTGAGAATCCTGTAAACTTCTTTGGAATCAATGAAATTCTGGTACACTTTATGCTGTTCATCTGTAAGTCGGCAAAATAAGACCTACAGGGGAAAGAAAAACAAATCACAGCTTAAACAACTATTAGAACATCAATATGTTTCTAATAAAAAAGACACAATATATGCAACTTAACAATGTACCTCTTATTAAAACAACAAACACTGTTGACATGGCCCAAGCGCAGGGATGTCTCCACCTGTGTCTAACCACCTATGTCCCCGCCCCAAGGCCCAGCAGCCCTTCCAGACTAGTTTCCTGATCACATCTGAGCTCAGAACTAGGTGCACCAACTACACTTCACTTCAGCCTGCATGCCCACCCACCCACCTGGAATACCCCCTCTTCCCCCGGCTTCACAAGGCACTGGACTCAGCTCCATGGCAACCACTCCACCCAGCCGGACCACGCTATGGAGCCCACACAATGGGTTTGCTGACTTTCTCCCCCTTAGTCCTCTCTCTTCCTCCAACTTCACCCTTCTGCATCGACTTTCTTCCCTGCCCAGTGCTTTCACGCATGGTCTGGTCATCTTCCTAAAATAGGAATCTGAGGTTTTACAATTCTTCATTTCTTAAATTCATACTCAAGATTTTCAACTACAATGGCAACAGAGAAAAAGCTCTTCCCTTCAAGTACAAAGTTATCTATACAATTATTCACAGGTAGCTCTGTCTGTAAATCACTGAGGTAGCAGTTACAAGAGACCTTAAGATGGGTACACAATGGCCAGACCTCCATAAATGTCCAGTCGGGAGACAGCCTGGGAGATCTTAGGATGGGACTTCTCTGTGTGCAGGTGGGCACACATACACATGTATGAGCACATCGGGGATGTGGTGAGGGTGGCAGAACACAGGCACAGCATAGGAAAACAGAAGGGATATGCCCAGGCCACAGCACGAAGGGACAGTTTGGGATCACAGGGTGACAATAAATTGGTGCAAATAAACGAGATAGCAATCCTAAGAAGGCAGTGGGCAAGGGACAGCGCAGGCGTGCTGGTAGGAGATGGCTTCAGCAACAGTGCACAGTACTGGGTGGAGTGGGGAGTCTTGGTGGGAAGGAGGCCCACCAGAGACCAACAGTACCAGCTTCTGAGCAAAGCTGCAGGATATGAGGCAGGCAGGGGAGACTGAGAATAAAAGACACAGGTGTCCAGGGCACTGGCTGATCTGGACTACACAGCTCAGAGGGCCACAGCCTGAGGGCTGAGCAAGCAAGAGGAGAACCCAGAGGATGTGATGGTGAAGGGCTTGACAAGGAGATGAGCATGGGGGGAGGGGAAGTGGCACGAGAAAAGCAGCCTTGACCATACATGTGCAAGGCCATTTAGTTCCACCACTCAACCCATGATACATTTGCCTGGGGCAGTGAGTAGACTGCAGAACATCAGGATGGGGGTTAGAAGAGTGTGACTCAAAAGCAAACCACTGGCACACAAGCTAAAGTGCAAAGCAAAACTCATGGTTTAAGGCTGCAATCACAGGGTATTGCAATTTTAACTAGGAAACAGCCCCTAAACAAATAAGGGTATGAGCAAGTTAATACTGTCGAAACTCTCCAAATAGTCTTTGGAGAGTCTTTTGCCTCATATCCTGCAGCTTTGCTCAGAAGCTAGTCCTTGTCAAGCCCTCTCCAAATAGTCCTTTCAACACCTACATGTGATGACATCACTCCACTGCTCAGATATTGCCATGAATTTCCTCACTGCAGGAATACAATCAAGTCTCCTCCAAGACTATGGGTGCTTATCATCTGGCCTCTTCCTGCAGGAACTGGACTTCCTCCCCTGCTACTCTCCTCATGCAGGGACCCAGCCACACCGGCTTCCCTGCTGCTCTGCAAGTGGATCAATGCACTACCCCAGTCCATCACCTGCAACATCTTCCTCCACAATCCATACGACTTGCTTCTGAACCTTTTTCAGATCTCTACTCAAATGGGAGATAATCATAGTTGTCTCTGACCATCCTTTATGCAAAGCCCACTTCCTAGCCAGCTGTAGTGGCACATGCCTGTGATGCCAGCACTCGGACAGGCTGAAGCAGGACTGTAAGCCCAAGCTCAGCTTGGACAACACAGTGATTTGAGATGCAGCTCAGCATGAAAGTCCCAGTACCACCAACCCACCCCTCCAAAAAAAACCCCCCTTCCACAAATCCTTGCCCTCAGCACTCCCTACCCCTCTAACCCATTTCTTCTTTTTTTCTCCACTCTTAACCATCTTATTTGTGACTCTGCCCCTCCAGAATGAATATGAGCTCCTTGATAACAAAACCTGCTGTGTTCACGGCTACGTCCCAGAGCTAGAACCGTGCCAGACATGTGGCCGAGATCTAATATACTGTGTAGCATGAATGAACTGGGAGCTGAAGGGAAATGCAGCGGACATTTAAGAAGAGCAGCTGTAGGAATGTATCTGGTAACACCGGAGATTGAAGCCTAGAGGAAAAGTCCTGCTAAAGACAGATGCCACAGCAAGTACAGCTTCCACACACAGTTGTGTGTGGAGCACCAGCCTACTGGCTTAGTCAGTACTCATGGAGAAATTGGAGGGAAGCAGCAGGTCAGGCTCAGCTGTGTGTGCTTGAGCAAAGCCCAGTGACATTCTGGATCTACAGACCTGTTCATTTTTATCTGGCAAAGAAAGGCTCATCTTGACATCTGACTTCATTCTCCGCAGTAGGTATGGGTTTATGGTGTCTCGTAAGACACATGCGCACTTGTAAGCAGTTTTGACCTTTAATGAAACAAAGGGTGAGGAAATTACTGTATGTTTAAGGAATGTGTTCGTTCTTACTTTCAAATGATTCCATTGCTTAAGAATAAAAGGAAGATAAATGATTGTATAAAACTGGCTAACAATGATTTGAAAATGGCTTGGAAAAATTCACCTAAATTCGGTATAATCCAATGGCTTATCTTAGCTTTCATAGTAATATCAATCCATAGCTTTCATAGTAATATCATCCATGCAAAAACTTATCTCAGCAAAATGTACAATCAAAGAAAACCTGCTAATTTTGTGCCTTATTCTTCTTCTACACTTACTTGAGTTACTGTTATACAGTTAGATCCTAAAATAAAGTCTTGACCCCCTCTAGGGGAAAAACCACTTTCAAAAGAGTTTGTTTATAATCTTATACTCTTAAAAAGCTACAAAGCAACCACTACTCTGCAAGATGAAGATCAGAAATTCAAGTGTGGGGAGGAGGCAGCAGCAGCAGAGATGACTGCCCACTGGAGATCTTGGAGAACAGCATGACCAAGAACCTGTGATCCTGAAATCAAAGGTCACTCAGCGTAAGACAGGCCATACGGTGCCATAATAACATAGTCATACAGGAGGCCAATCTTCCTGTCTCAGCCTCCCAAGTAGCTGGCATGACAGGTGTGTACCATCATGCCTGTTCCATTTTATTTATTCTGGTAGCTTCCATACCTTGCTTGTCCTGTCTACAAATGCCACCTGGGTCTCTTGCTCCCTATTGTCCTTCTCATCCCACCACCCACCACAATGGTCCAGGTCCAGTTCTTTACCACCCTCACCTAATGGCCCCGCAGGTCCCTCAGTGCCACCCTCCCTCCTGTGATAACCCTGCAGCCTGAGCAACCTGAGAGCTTTAGAGCCCTTCCTGTTGCCCCAAGGACTGCTGCCCCTGCACCTTCCCACAGCCCACCCCAATAAGCACCCCCAGCACAGTCCAGGCCAGCAGGTCTCTCACTGCCCCACCACACAACATGGCCATGCTCACACTGCTGCCCTAACCCAGAAGGCCTCACTCTTCATAGCCCATTTTTCCAGAACCTGGACACAGGGTAAGTCTCATTCTGTCTTCCTGAACATCTCTGTCCTCAGCCTCCAGATACTTTATGAGATGCACTGTCCAAGTTGCCCTGCACTGCACGCTGTCCAGAATGCACTGGCTTTTGTTCATGGTTTTTGATTATGTGATCACACATGACATCATTTTACTCCCTATCTGACAGAAAGGTCCCAGGAACAACCACACCGCATCACTTCTATTATGCAAAGATAAATTTTATTTTAGGGGTTTCCTTTGAGTAAATATGTCATATGATTTTAATAAAACTGATCTGGACAAATATGATCCGTCAACAGAAATAATTTTCTGACTTTTATCGGATACCAATTTGTAAGCCTGGTCATTCTTTTTACATTGTGAAGGACTTGGCTACAAAGTATACTATGTAGCAAGAACATTTTAATCACTGAGGTGCCACTGTCACCTGCTGTGTTACCTGCACAGGAGAAGCGTTTGCGTATCCCCCCATGGTGATGGGGACAGAGAACTGTTCCATGAACACGGGCAAGGTGCCCAACTTTCCTGGGAAGACAAAGTCGAAGAGCGACCACAGCTCTCGAAGGTTGTTCTGCATCGGTGAGCCAGACAAGATGATCCGGTGAGGTGTGCGGAACTGTTTTGGGAACAAAATCACCTATGAAATTACCTCTCACAGATGATCAGTCCCTACCTGAAAACATGCCTATGTAATGTTATTCAACACATTTATTCAACATCTCAGCTCTTTGCCACTGGTTCTCTCCAAAATGCAAGCACTTTATGCAATTATAATTCCCTCTTTACATACAGGTGAGAAGAGGGGAAATATTGTATCTTATCATTTAAACTGACTATTAAGGACAAGAGTTGGATTTGGTTACATTCAAATAATTAACCCTTATAAGAGATATTTTATAATGTGTGCAATCATAATTTTGAAAACGTGATTATGGGCAAGTATAAAGCATTTTCTGCATTGAGGCAAAATGTGTATTTTCAACTCCTTACAGAGCGTAAGGAAAGACACAGTGAACGATTTTACTGAAAGCAGCAGCCTATTCCTAACTGAGTTCTATCACCCACCTGGAACCCCCGCCCCCGTGTTAGGTCATACCTGCTTGCAAGCCAGGGTGATGGCAGCGTTGGGGTTTCGAATTTTGTGTCCTTCATCCAGGATCACATAGTGCCAGTCATGCCTGCTAAGGTCATCCTGCATCAGCCGAACGTAGGAGTAAGAAGTAATCAAAATTCCATGACAATGAGCAATGTCTCGAATTAGTTTCTCCTAAAAACACAATGAAATAGTAAACCCAGTTTTAAGTCAGAAATGAAATAAAATGAACGTGATTTAAAATGATGCCCTTTCAATCATGGCACAATTGACAGCACTTCCTAAAAATGTGCAAATACAAACATCAGATACACAATTCTAATGTGTTATCAGCATGGGAAATGCACTTTACGTTTGTTTACTCTGAGAGGTAGAAAATCCTAAGAGACTCACTGTGGGGGGAGGGTTTCAAATGACATAAAAATAAAATATAAAACCAAACACTTCACTAGTTTTTATTTTTCTAAAACATTTTTGCCCATCCTTGGGCAAAACTTAAAACGAGTAAGTGGATGCAAGATGATTATTTTAAAATAGCACCAAGATAACCCAAGGAGACAAAGGAGATAAATCCAGGACTTCTTTTAAGACATAAAACAAATTTCAGGTGGCTGAGATGGAAAAGATATAAAAGCAATGACTTAAAAAAATTATCCAAACACTGAGGAGACACTAGGTTTCTACAGAGAAAAACATTCAAACATTCTAGCATGTCAGGCAGAAACCAAGAAAGACTTATCCCTAGGCACATCCTACAGGATTTCTAAATTCCAAAAATGGGGGGAAAAAAAGAAAGCAAGAAAGCAAGAAAGCAAGAGCTTCCAGCGAGAAAAAAAAACAGAAAAAGAAAAGATTTCCTTCAGAGGAATAAAACTGCCTGCGCTGAACATCTTTTCTGTTACACTAAAGATGTCGCAGCTAGAGAGAAAATTCTTTGCTTAATTCTTAGTGGGGGAAAGAACTCTAGGCCCTAAATGTTCTCTACCCATCCATACTAGGTGTCATTCTTGATGGGAGAAACAAACTCCAGCTTCAGACAAGAAATCAGAAAACAAGCCACCTGGAGGCTGCCAGCCAGAGTGTATACAACGCAGACAGAGTGATGTGCAGAACACTGGTTGGCCCTCTGGAAGAACCAGGGCAGTGCCATCCCCACGGCCCTACACACTTCTCAGACAGTGCCATGGCAACCCTTGTGCAAGAGCAGAATCACTACTGCTTCAGCACATGTGTTACATGTTACAGTTACTTTATACAACAAGGCCACACCTGATGTAATCCTTCCCTGATCTGACCTTCTGACAACTGCAGCAGTCCACACTGGGCTGTAGAACCCTGCAGACCTGTACCTCCCTGACCCTGCCCACTCTACTCCTTGGCTGCTGATGCCCAGTGTAGAAATGTGCTGCCCAGAGCAGCAGGCAGCACTCCAGCACCTCACTGGCCAGGCACTGGCTCTGACAAGCTAGAGCTGTTTTTCAGTGTGTCCACAGCTGAATTTTCTATGGGTTTCTAGGCAGTAGCTCCTCATGCTTCCCTCCGGGAAAGGGGAGCTGCCAGAAGCCATGGCAGCAGGCGGGGGAAGGGACCGCAGCAAAGTGAGCCACAAGACTGTTCCATGCCTGAGTCCTCTCCAGGTAGGTGTGAGCTGTACACAAAGGCAGAGAGAGGACAGCGACTACAGCTGCCTGGGCTTAAAACAGCAAAGTTACACCAGCACCTACATTATAAAATGTCCACTGTGCACAGCCAAATGCTGCAAATACAGCTGCACTTGCTCAGCACTCTGGATCTGCTGGCCCCTGGATGCACAACCTTGCCGCAGTCACCCCATTATCTTCTAGGACACATCCAGAGGTGCGTCTGGATGTTATCTGTGCAGATGGGAGCATCACCACAGACAAATAGGACACTGAGCCTCTCAAATGTACCCGACTGCAGTGACATGTAGCTTCTCCTGCTTGCTTAAGAATCGAAGTTTATCTGGAATACTCTGTAATGTGAGTTATAGAAATTATAGAGTTCCTACTGTGTTCAGAAAGAGATACAATGAATCACAAGAATTGAGAAGAGGCTTTCATAGAAAGAATAAGAAATTGTGCAAAATGTCCCCACTGAAAATATAATTTCCACTTAGCCACTGGGTAGCAACACATCCAAGACTATTTGTCTTCACCTGATTCAATCTCAGAATTCTGTGACTGCTTAGACTAGAGTTTCAATAATGGTGAGTTGTTGAATATTATAGACGTCTCTATCCAAACACTTAAGACAAATCATCTCGGGCGGTTTCAAATTAAAAGCTTGTAAAATATGTAACCTCTCCTAGTTTTTGCAATTAATAGGGTACATCTGCAATTAGCCTGACTTACTGAATGCAGGGCTGTTGTCATTAAAGGATGTCTGTGGAAGTGCTGCTGTTATTATGGAGGCTCAGGAGACCAATCCCTCCTAGAGGGCAAACAGTGGACTGGTGGAAAACAACAGCCATAAATCACACTGTCAGGCGTGGGGAGCGGATGAAGCACAGGCACATGAAGGCCATTCACGGCAAACACAGCCTGGCTTCCCAGGCAGGATTTACTGCACCTGTAATTAATTAAAATTTCCTTCAAGCTAAATCTTTAATAAACAAGGATTTGTGCTGACAATGAAGAAAAAAAAAGGGACTCCAGCAACACAATTTTACAACACATCTTTGAGAACAAGCCGAGCATCTATCAGTTCTTATGTCAGGTGTGTACACCAACTCTGAAGTTAATAGGAACTGTACTACCTTGGGTTGTACTTGTGCACTTGGAATGGGTCTGAAATACTGAGGACACCTGAGGGACTGTGTGGCTCCCCTTCCACTTATACTTGTTTTTACTTGGCCTGTTTTCAGCCTTTAAAAAGGTCAAGTCTTTCTGGTCTACTATCATAGAAAACGGACCTTTTTATTTTTTTTATTTTTTTATTTTTTTGGTATTTTTTTCTGGTACTGAGAATCAAACTCACGACCTTGCACTTGCCAGGCAGGCGCTATGCCGCTGAGCTAAATCCCCACCCCCGAAAATGGACCTTTTTAAAGAGCATACAATGGTCATCAGATGGCCAAATTTCGGTGTGGCTTGCTTTTTTAACCATACCCTGCACTTGCCACAAAGAATTTTAATATCTATTTCATTCTTTCCTTTTAGGAACAAATGTACCTTGACATGAGAAAACCAGAATAACTAAGAATGCTTCTAGTAAAGCGGGGTGAACTTCCTATCTAGCCTGAAAAATGAACCTGGCAGCAATGCCTTTCTTGGCATCTTCTCTCCACTTCTGAGATGAAGGGGCCTGTTGTTCCTAACAAAAGTAAGAAACACCAGAGTAAGTTAGGTATCAGGGCCACACTGAGCTCTTCACGCACACACATTTACTCCATATAAACCCTCACAAAATTATCAGAGAATCCCACTTCACAGGTCATCAAACTAGGCTCTGAGAAACAAAGTGAGTTGATTGATGCTTTACAAGTTATACAATGGCAGATCTGAGACTCACACCCTGGAGTAGTAACTGCAAAAGCACTGCCCTTAAAAGTTAGTGCCATGGTTGTTTTTGCCTCTCCTATGCCTCTAAATGTCAGGACTTGAACAAAATAAGACAAAGTTGTTTGGATTACCCAAAATAGTCCACAGAATCACTGGATCTTTCACAGTAGAAAAAGGTAGTAGAGAAAAAGTGATAACCATGTCAGAACATAAGCAATTTAGCACTATACCTCTTCCAGCACACTGAAAAAGGGTTCTTAATCATTAGATAAGCTTTATAACACAGTGCTAATGATGCCACCACCTACTGGGAGACATGGAATAAGCATCACAAGACTGCCTCCTTTCATTATCTTTTCATATATTCTCTTTCCTCAATGAAACAGTTGGCTTTTCAAGGTTAGTTAAAACCACCATATTCATTTTTTGTCAACCTAATACTATCAAACATCTGAAATATAGTGTTTAGAGTTGTTCAACAAATACTAAGCAATTCACGTAGAAGTTTTTCTACTTTAGAAAAAAGGGCTCATAAATCATAATGAGGAAAAAAAAACTTAAGATGTTTATTAAATGAGATTTCCACTGGCCATTAAAGGAGATTTTGAAAATTTCTTTGTCAGACTTGATCACGTGAAACTATTAGATGCATAGTTTTTTGCACGGTTGCTGGATGTGCATTTGACAATTCTAAATTATGCTGCCAATCAAAGACATTATTAACAAAGATGATCTGGTATTAAATGGTGAAAGAGGTTGGAAGCTAAAATGCAATTTAGGGAAGAAGAATGGTAGATGTGAACCAGTTTAGAAACCGATTGTATGATATGTTTTCTAAATGAAAAATATCTGAAATTTTTATGTTGGACCAACTACAACAAAGCATTAGGAAAATTAAGATATTTCACTTGAATGATAAGGAAAACAACTGCATTATTACTCTTTTAAAATTTTCTCAAGAGAAATTCCTCACTCCTGTTTTGTCCAGTATCAAATGTCCCTAAGGCCATAGTGCCACACTTTAGGCAGGACAGCAGTAGGTATGGAAAGCCCACTTGCGGAAAAAGAAATCTCAGCTGGTAAGGGAGGAAAAGAAGCTTGGCATTAAATGCTGGCTTACAGACCAGACCAGCACTGACAGACTCTCTGAAACATGAGTAAGAAACATAGATTCTACTGCACTCTACCAATACATTTGTAAGCTACTGGTTGTGTGTGAGATGATGATAGAGATCTGCATGTATAAATACGTCACCCCCAGAAATATAAACTGATAGTAACATTAATAATAAGTAATATGGTCATCATTCTCTAGATCAAGAATATAGTTTGAAAGATACAAAAGCACTCTTCATTATCTTTTAACATCTTCCATCTACAGAGATCTGAAATATTTTATAAAGGAGAAAGAACAGTAGGGAGTTAAGCAGCAGAGCAAAAACATAAACAAATGATAATGCTGCTTTTCCTTAGCAGTAAGAAATTCCAAATGAAAGCCCTTGGTAAACTGGAAGGAGCTGAAAAACCAACAAGTAACCGTGGAACCACTGTCACCCAAAGTGTAATGTCTTTTTCTTTCAAGTTCTGCCCTCCAAAAAGGGAAGGAAGTTCTATCACCAAGCTCACAGTCATGTCACTCTGTGCTAATGGTCAGTGTGTGTGTGTATCACAGGAAAGTGCTCTTCAGCTTGTAATTACAGCAGGACTGCAGGCAGGCACATCCAAGGAAGGTGTGAAATATCATGCTTCACTAACCCGCCCCCAAGAAAAACCAATGAAGAGGGACATTAAAAAAAAATCTGCCTTCATAAAACAAACATCCACTAATGAATCCAAGATTTTACCACATAAAATGTTACAAGATGTTGATAGATTCAGAAGTTTCACTTGGGTGATGAGGGGATAGTTGCAATTTAGAGTTTGAATAGAAACAACCTAAACTGAACTCACTTTCACATAAGTAAAAACTACTTTCCTTTAAATCACAGCATTCACCCTATTTCATTATTCTCTTAACTGTTTTCTAGGTACCTTTTAAAACTCTGGGCAGTCAGTTGCTTTTAAAAGTATCAGCTAGTACAAGCAAGATACCATTTCACATCACTTGTATTACCAAATTATAGATATTCCTGATTCAGAAACTCTGAACCTGTCAGAAACTCTCCTGATCTATGATCACAAACATACAAGAATCTAAAAGGAAAACATGTACACTATGGAGACTCCAGAGTTGAGCACCTTCTGAGACCTCTCACTCAGGGGAACCTTCCATGGTCCCCACAGTGGCTACTGTTGCCTGGGGTGCATGAGAGCTCACTGAAGCCTCAGAAGACTCAGGAAAGAAAGAATGAACTCACAGCCAACTGCCACCTCTTATCAGTCATGGAACCTGCAACCTTTGGCGAAGCTGTGTAAATATTACTTATTCAGAAAATGCCCAGGGAGATTCCATCTCACCCTAGAAAGAATGGCTATCATCAAGAAATCAACCAATAACAAATGCTGGCAGGGCTGTTGGGAAAAAGGAACCCTTCTCCACTGCTGGTGGGAGTGTAGACTGGTGCAACCACTGTGGAAGTCAGTGTGGAGATTACTCAACACTAGGATTAAGGTCCCATTCAACCCAGCTATTTACTTTCTGCGTATTTTCCCAGAAGAAATGAAAAAAATCATACCATAGTGATATATGTTCATCCAGTCTATGGCCATACCATCCTGATCTTGTCTGATATATGTGCACCCATGTTTACAACAGCACAATTTGTAATAGCTAAATCTTGGAAACAACCCAAATGTCCATCAATTGAGGAATGGATAAAAAAGATGTGATATTTTTATATAATGGAGCACTACTCACGGATAAAGATAAACTTGAAGATTTTATAGGTAAATGAATGCAAATAGAGACCATATTCATAAGTGAAATAAATCAGACCCACATGTATAAACATTGTATTGTCTCCCTAGAGTAAGAAACTGAAAGAGTAATTAAGATCCAAAAGGTACAACAGATATAGTGAAAGGGAAGAAAACTGCTCAAAAGGAAAAGAACAACTGGGATGGGGGAAAAGAGAAAATAAGGAAGGAGAAAAAAGAGATATGTATATATACACAAGATACCTAAGATAATTGTAGTACTAATTTCTGTTAGTTCATTGAAAGGAACAGTTAGTGCTTATATTGTGTCTTGGTTACTTTTCTCTCTTTGCTGAGACAAAATACCCAACTCCCAAAATGAAGGAAGGAAAGGTTTATTTAGCTCACAGTTTGTGGAGGTTTCAGTCCATACTTGGCTGGCTCCGAGGCAGAAGATAGCAAAGCAACAAGAGCAAAGGGGGGAATGGCAGCCGAACAGCAAACAGCCAGAGCAAACCCGGAGGAATGGTGGCAAGCAGCTTCTTTTTCCCTGCCTTACTTTGTCAACAGGCTACCCCCACCTAAGGGGAGTGTAGCTCTCACATGATCTCCATGCCCTCCTCTTCCACAGGCTCAGGATGTATACAAAGTAAGCACCCTGGCTTCCTGCTGAGTCACTTAGCCAAACCTCTAGACTCCCCAAGTTGACACAATGTATCAACTATAACAATTGTTTGATCAATTTTGCATGCCTGAACCTGGTAATCTGAGCAACTACTTTGAAGATAATAATATGCAATATAATAACCATTGTTAATATCCTATCTCCTTGTTCTGAAATTCTGTATCGTTTTTATTATTTTTCTCTCTTTAAAAAAGAAAAAAGAAAATGCCTGGGTTGCTTGGGACAGTGAGTTAGACACAGGACCGACTCTACAGGGCACAGTCTGCAAGAAGAAACGCGTAACATCCCTGCCTACACTGCCCATAGGAGCAAGGATAAACGTTCTTTTTGACAGTGCAGCTGCTAACCAAACTGGGAATAAGGGAGGAAAAAACTTTCAATACACAATGGCCCCAGATTCAGGAGCAATGCAACCTAACTAAAAAGCAATAATACTTACAAAATTCTCAAAATAGCAAGGTGTTTCTTCCATTCATCAAGAACATGATTTAAAATCGTATTAATAAATGTCATTTACCAGATATGCATACTTTATAACCAAAATGCTTAAAAAAGTACTTCAGAGTTTGGATTTTTCCCAGATTTTAGATGCACCCTGATATCCCACAGCTGGAAGCCAGGTCTAAACGTGAAATTTATTTACGGTTCATACACACATTATACAACACTTTTAGCAATTCTGTTTTAACTGTGACCTGTCACATGAGGTCAGATGTGGGTTTCCTGGGTATGGTGCTGCATCAGTGTTCGAAAAAGTCCAGACTGGGAAGCATTTCAGATTTTGGGTTAGGGATGCTCAACCCACAAGTTTCTTTTTGTCGTCACTATCCTAAAGCTGTTTCAAGCTGCTCAGGCTCACAGTCCCTCCAGTTAACTGTCAGAAGCTATGAGATTTCTGATCTTATACACGGGCTTGTGGTACCCTGTCTGTGCTCAGTTGTGACTTGTTGGACAAGAAGCATGTCACAATGCCATCAGAGACTGTCAGAACAACAAAGCCAGTGCTTGTAATTGTTGTGAAGATACAGAGCTCTACATTAAGGCAATAATTATAAAACAAGTTCAAAATAATTATAAAACAAGTTTAAATGCACAAAAAGAAACTTGGGAATATACAGTACATGCATTTTGCTTTTTGTTTGTTTTGGGGTTTTTTTGGTACCAGGAATCAAACTCAGGACCTTGCGCTTGCCAGGCAGGTGCTTATGACACTGAGCTATATCTCTAACCCTACAGTACATGATTCAAAGATAAAAGCAAATATGTCAAATGAAGGACCTTAAACGAAACACATAGCCAATACTCAAGCATCACACTGTTACCTTTCTGTGGGTATAAGAGCCAGTTTCGTGTAGAATCGCCACTCTGAAGGGAGGCCACCACGTGTGGAGCTCCTTCACCCACTGATGCATCACTGTCGTTGGGCAGACAATCATAGTGGGGCCCAGCCCCTCAAACCTGCACCCAAATGTCCAGGAAGAAAACACAACAATGAAAGATCCAATACTGGGTGATCAGCTGCCAAAAAAACACCAAAAAACAAAAACCCCTAACAGTTCCAAAAAGAAAATACAACATATGAGAATTGATTGATATTTTTATTTTCATTAATAAAAAAGCTACTGAGGTTAAAACCTAGTAAGTAAAGTCTGTAGGAGTCCATTCACGAATTATTGGATGCAGGAATGAAGAGAAAATTAAACTTTCCATAGCAAAGAAAAAATGAAACAACTATGTATGTAACAAATACTTTTCTTGCCCTCACTATTCTAGATTAGTGACGCTTTTATAGGGTATAACTTAACCTAAGTAAACGTAACACCTGAAATCTGTCTGGAGTTCTATTGCAATGATGGCGAACCTTTTAGAGCTTTCAATGATAACAAACAGCACACTGCAGCATGCGTGCCATAGGTTTACCACTAGTGCACTATGGTTTACTGAGAGTTTTCAATTCACAGAATTTTATCTCATCCCCACTGTCCCAGAAAGCAAGTAGGCAGGGTGTTCAAGGGTTCAGCGGGGCTGGAGTGACAAGGTGACATGATCCCCAGGAGACGAAGGACTGCTGAGAAGGGGGTCTGGTGCTTATGCTGCCTGCTTTCTCTACATGGAGCTGCCTACTTCCCCTTGACAACAACATGGCATGGTGATGCCACTGGATTTCAGAGCCACACAATGGTATATGTGGAAGCAGCTGAGGAGACAGAGCAGGAACCTCACCAGCAATCATTTGATGACGCGGTGTCCCAGTACAAGTGCACATGAATTACTCTTCCTGCCATCTCACTAATCCCGTTTTGACTCTCTGTGGACACCTGGGATGCTAAACGGCCTTCCCAGAGCTTCCTGACCTTCCCTGGACATTTCAGTGCTGACACAGATGTGTGCAGGACAGCACGTCACCCACCCTGCCCTGTTTCCCAACCCAGTGTACAGAAGCATCATTGTTCTCTGGGGCCTGAACTGGAAGTCCAGACCTTGCCCCTTGATCAGACTTCCTGACCTCCCCTCCAAACAACATGCACCAAACTCCTGTGACTTCTACCGCCTCCATCCCTCTCCAAGGCAGCAGCCCCTCACCCTACACCATAACTCCTCCAGTGCCAACTCTCATCTGTGTCATGGCACCTTCCAGCATGATAATTTCTAAGAGCAAATTCTGATGCTACATCCCCTCACTCGAACACCTCCAGTGACTGCCTACAGCTCTTGGCCCAGGCTATGAGACCTGGAGGCTTCGACCTCTGCTCACCTCAGTCTCGCCCATTCACTGCTGCCCTCAGCACTTACCCATGGCCAGAACCCCACCTGCTGGGACTGGCCTCAGTTCACCCAAGCCACAGTCTTCTGAGTCTAGCTTTCACTTCCTCCTTACCCTTCTCCCCCTCCCAGACACCTCCGACTCACCATCCAGACCACTGTTTCCTGGAGGGGACCCTCCGTTGGTGCACCCAGGCCAGTCAGGACCCTATCCTGTCACCCCTCCTAGCTCCTTCTGAGCAGAGCAAGTAAGAAATGAGCACTATTACGTGAAAACATTTTTTTAAACACTGGGGTAAAATATGTTAAAGTGTTCAAAGACATTATTCTGAATTTGGGGATTATGTCTGATTTTTGATTTCCTGCTACAGCTCAATAAATGCCTCCTGAACTTAAGGGTAAATGAGACAGTGCTTAAACTTAAATCATCTGCGACACAAAGGAAAATTAACTGGTGCTTCTAACAGAAAATTGAGACTATGACAAAACCGTAAGTGAAAGCAGGCTCATTCTTACACTCCAGCATGACAAGATGTCTCCGTCCATCAGTGAACCCTCCCATCTCCTGCTATATGTCACAGCCCCTCGCCCCTGGCTGGGGAGCAAGCGGGGTGCCAGAAGGAGCTAGAAGCCATAACAGACCCCACAATTCCTACAGATGTCCAAGCTGAGCACATCTCCAAGGCAGGGCCCCTTAGCTCCCCAAGGAGAGGGGCACTCTACTCTGCCCCCAGCCCCTTCCATGATGGCCTTCCTTTTTTAAAGGATTAAGTGCACCAGCTTCCTTACATCCTCCAAGGGTAATGAAAGAGAGTTATCAATATTCACTTAGAAGGGATTAGTGAACAACCAATCAAAAGCTGTCTAAAATATTTAAAATCCAAGACATTCAGATAAGCACAAATTGGAGCTCCAGTGGTGCAATCCGTCAGCACGCAGTACTTATACAGATAAGCACTAATTCATCGTATGCCTTTTTAGGGTGCACAGCTCTCTCTCTCTGTAACCTTCCACAAGCTTCGATATTGGTGACTCACACTTCATTATTTAAGGCTACGATTTTCTTCTGGCTGCACATCTATCTGGTATTATTATGCCCTTTAATTTCTGCTATTCTCCCTCTAGAAGCATAGGGAGGTTTTCACGCTGAGTTGAAATCTCAGAGCAAGACAGATTGTTCCTGGACCACAGAAGGGGCAATCAAGCCCATTAACAGTCACATCAACTGTACCGCCCTTTTCCAACCTCAATACCAGTGAGATGAGCCTAAGACAGGCTAAATGTACTACAGTGATTAGCATCAATTACCAAACAGACTCTAGTCCCTTTCATCTTTGATAATCATTGATTACCTAATGAATTTAGGACATACCAGTAGCTCCATGGCCAAATACTTCAACCTGCAGTTGGAAAGCAGCTGGTTGCAGCCTAGAATCTTACCAGGAATTTTTATCCCAGAAAGCGGATTAACTTTTTCAGAATATTTATTCTTAAACTGAAATTAACTAAAAGGATAACCAAGATACCAAAGTACTAAATGGAATTTGAAAGATCAGTAATTCATTTCCTCTCATCATAAACTTCATGGGGCCCATTATTACAATAAGAATGACAAAGTAAAAAGAAAGCAGGACATTTTTTATGAACTGGGAACACAAAATCCAGTAGTGATTTTTAAATTTATTTTGTGCAATATACTTCTCTCCTGAAAATAAACAGACCTACCACATACATTAAAAACAAAAACAATAAAACAAACTTCTCCAGTACTGGGTATTGGACTCAGCACCTTGTGCATGGCAGCAAAGAGCTCTACCACTGAGATACATCCTCAGCTATTTATTTTAAGACAGTCTTGCTGCCCGGGCTGGCCTCAAACTTGTGATTCTCCTTCCTCAACCTCCCAAGCAGCTGGGAATAAGGCATATGCCACGATGCTCGGCTATAAACAAAAGTTATACCATGAAGTCTCTTGGTATCATAGAAACTTACACTGTATGTTCATGGACCTTAAAACTGCAACATTAAGACCATATCAAATTAGAACCCCAAGACCTACAGCCTGCCACCTTTCAGAGGAAAAGTATACAGGCAACAAGGCAATGCCACTTCACAAAGACTGGATTTGACCTCAAGGGATATTTTTCTTTAGGATAAACACAGAAGAGAACCACAAGCTCACCTGGCTTCAGAGGTGGACACATTGTAAGACTATTAGGAAAGTATTACTCAGTTTGCTGGGCCACATTAAGAGGGGGGAACTAAGCTTCTCCCTCCCTGTGCAGTGATGGGGAACAGTTTAGAGCTTTCAATGATACACCTCTGCTCCAAAAGAGCCCAGCTGTTTGGCTGATACATCACCACATTCTCCAAAGCCACTTCCACCAATACCGTTTTAATAAAGATGATCTGGGCGCTAGTCCAATGTCCTGCACTATTTCATTACAGAAAAGAGGATATGAGCATTGATAGTTAATTGATTACAGCTGATGCTATTAGCCCTGACTTTGCTCCTAGTAGCACTGTCACCACTCGAGAGAGCATGTTTTAATTTTTAGATCACAACTACACTGCAGGGATGACTTTAGGGTTCTCAGGCCCAGAGTATTAGACTCCATGCAAGTTTCTTGATAATAGGAAGAGAAGGGAAGAAAGAGGTAGGAATGAGAAAATCCCAGAAGTCATTTAAGGAAAGACAGTTCTAGAAACCATCTGGGGCAGCCCAGTTATCAAAAAACCCAAGAGTGTAACAGAGACCAAGCCTACCAAAGAGCTTATTTAGAACAGAGAAAGTATTTTTGCAAATACTAAACTAATGTCATTCATAGATAAGAACCCCTTAAATGTCCAGTTTTCAACTTTGACTTCTGCCTTGGCCTGGAATGTTTTCATTTATTTCCAGGTAAAACGGAAGAGAATTCTAATATTGAAGAGAATTCTCTGCTTCAATACAACTTTCTTGAAAGTACAACAAAATATGTAACATTTTTTCAATGACTATCCCCACTCCCACATTTATATAAATGCACCTGGGATTTTGAAAATATTTTTAAAACTTCAAACACTTCTTATGATCTTCTAAGTGAATGAGAATAAGAAATACAAGCAAAGCACTAAATCCTAAACACCAAAACTAGTGGTCGTTACTCTCCAGTTTTCTGTGCTATCTGGCTCTCTGCTAAACATCTCTACTGACCCTGGAGTGTAGGGTGGTAACTTTCTGCAGTCACTGACTTCAGGCCTTTCCAGATCTCATGCAGTGATGATGAACCCTTTAGAGCTTTCAATGATACAAACAGCCTGCTATGGCAATGCACCACAGGTTTGCCACCACTGCTCTGTGCAGTGAGTGCCCAAGGTACCCAGGAAACAGCCATCTGGTAGCTACCTCACTGTTACCCACTGGATAAGCCTGCTGAGACCAGAGGAGGTCTGTGATTGTCTAGGCTCAGGATGAAACTTCCCACATAATTTACCTAGTATTATTCCTACCAACACAGGTTTCCATAAAACCAATGTATAGCTTAAGAATGGAAATGCTTATGGTTCTTTATTTCAAGATCAAGTATTTCAGTGCTACCATATGCAACAGATTGGACGTTCACTCTTTGGGGATACTAAGCCTTAACAATTTTTTAATCTTCTACAGAAAATAAGGATTAAAATCTAAACATAGTATACTATCTCTTTAGACAGTCATTTAGGCTTCAGCCTCAGAATATATATATAAAAGTTGTAAAGACTGAGAGAGGCTGAAGCCATAGTGAGCAGAGAAGTAACTTCATTAAAAAAAAAAACAGAAGCAAAAAACCAAACCCAAGTGCTCTCTGCAAATGCTGTCATGCACTCTGACTATGAAGGAAATTAGGCAGAATGGCTTCTTCAAAGCTCCAACTTTCCCCATGAATAGACTTTGTTCTTACTGTAATGCTCACCTGGTCTCCTGCCAAAACAAATATTTTAATGTAAAATTTAATAAATGGAACTAAAAGTATTATGTCTAATTTAAAATTCCATATTGTGTAAACTATTGATATTAACATAATTGAGTTTGTAAACAATCCATTTGCAGGAGCTAACCTTAGACATTGTATTGACCCAAAATATCTAGTGGGGCTCATCTGCAAAATGAAGCATCAATGCCTGGAATTCATTAAAAGTGTTACATGTTTAATTTCTCCTGCCCTACAGCTCCATTGTCTCGTAAAATTTTTCCTTTGATGTCCCCCACTAAAAGAATTAAAGGAATATTGTAATTGAAATGTCATCAATAATTCACAAGACCCTCCTCCACAGCAATACATCTGATGAAATATTAATTGAGCTCCACAGACTGACAGTCTGCAGAGGAGCACTTGCCTGTAATTTGAACCGCGAGTCCTGATCTTGCTGTAGCTCAGACCTGCCAAGAAGGCAATTATCTGGATGGTCTTGCCCAATCCCATCTCGTCTCCCAGAATTCCTCCTGCCTGCTGGCAGTGCAATTCCCACAGCCACCTAACACCTGTCTGCTGGTACCTACAACAACAAACACCAACAAGAAAAGAGAAAATGGCAAATGGTAGATAATACAGATCATAACGAAAGCACTCATGAATTAATCATTTGGTTAGGTTCTAGTACCAATCAGAAAAACGCGCTGGATGTGTGTTTTACATGAGTATTATGTTTATAAGGTCATGCATTTTTGATCACCTAGGCATAAAGTCACAAATTTTTCTTTACAGAATGTTAACACATTTCTAATTAAACTGATAGATGGAGTAATTAGGGACTATTTCATTTCTTTTTCAACATTAGAAATAGCTTGGTAAACAAGCATAAACTTATTATCTTTTATTTAGTTTCTTTCAGGGAAAAAATTCCAACTATTTTTATTATACAGAATTCCATAAATTTTTCTACAAAAAGAGATAATCTGTGTATTTTATTCAATCTTAGCATTAAAAAGGCAAGACAAAACACAATTTATAGCTTACACTGTTATAAAGTCACTTGGTAATCAGGTTATCTTTTTATAGGAAAAATTAAATTAAATTTTAAGGCCATAAACAAGTCTGAAGGGCCACTATCTAAATTAGTACATAAAAGACAATTCTGTCATATTACTAGCAGATGCAAAAGAGAAAAAAGACTGAACAATACAAAAGGTGTTTTTAATATTTTAAAGAAGAAACTGATTCAGGCATTTTTTCATTGGTATAAAAAGACTGGAGCTATTAAAATTTTAAATAAGGAATACTGGTCAAAGAGAAATAATGTATCTCCTTTCCTCCCCCCAAAAAATTGCAGTAGTATTTTCATTTCTCTATCAACTGCCCAGGCTATAAATCTAAAAGCAATTTTTTAGAAAAGGAACAATGCAAAAACATTTTTGACAGAGAAAGGTTTAATATTATAGAATGGTAATGAAGATTACATGCAATATTAAAAAGTTAAAGCCAAAACCAGTAAAGTTAAAAAATGATACATGCTAAAGGATCCCTAATCCCACCCCAGAGAAGATACCAAGAGTAATGAGCTACTGACTGTCAAGAAAGGTGGTTTTACTACTGTTGTTTTGATAATCAAATATTTACTACTTGTTATCTGGCATGCCTACATAAACCTCATTTTGGACCTCAGTTCTTGCTGAGCTAATTTCTCTCAGTAAATATGTCATAATTAACTTTACTCTGGTGTTTTGCAAATCAATTCTAAAAGTTTGATTCTAGCTGTTGCCATTCATCTATAAGGAAAACTGAGAATTTTGCTGCTTATTTAAATTTTCTAATTGTAATTGCACACTGGAGATGCACTATGGAGAAGAGGACTAGAAACACTGGAAAGCCTAGTATAGGTATAAGGGCATTTAATTTGGGAAGGACAAGTCCCATAAATATGCGGAATGTAATCAGAAGTAACAGCTACCACTTAAGAAGCCATTGATGGGAGGCACCAGGCCAGGTGGTTTGGACACAGCCTCCCAATCAACCTGCAGAGACAGTGATCAGCACATTTTACAGCTAGAGAGCACAGGATCACGTAGCTAAGTAACAGAGGTCACAATGCCAAAGAGTGAGCAGACTGGAACCAAAATCCAGACTGCATTATTCCACAATGATTTCTCTCTGGAAAGAACCCAGACCAGGAGCTCCACTGGGGTAACTTGCATCTAGCAATGGCCAGAAAGGTTTATTACTACAGTGGAAGTGCTAGTGAGATCTAGAGAGCAGAGGGGAGATGTGCTGTTCAGAACTCTACAATGGACAGGAAAGTCCCCACAATAACAAATTACTGGGCCCCAAGTCTCAACGATGCCAAGGTTTTAGGAAAAAAAAACCCATCTGGAACAGAAGCTGGTTTGTAAGCTAGTTACCCTGAAATTACCTCAACTTCTAAAAAAGAACATTCCAAAATGCCCCCCAAAAACTGATGTGCATTCAGTTTCTACAGTTACTGCAATGGACCTCCTCTTACCGAGGTACAGAAGAACTACAGCAACAGCTCTTCGGGGACCAGAACCTCCCATGACTACCCTCAAGTTCTGCCATCACATCACACCGCACCGCATCCACTCAACGTGGGCCAACACCTCTCTGTTTGGGGCCCAAACTTACTTAAAGTGGGGAGAATTTGGAAAGCAGCAATTAGGAAACTATGAAAAGAACTGTAACCAGTATGGTTTCCAAGAGACTGGGATATTGAGAGCTGGGACACTGGACTTCACATGACTCTGGGAAGCAGTATAGTGTGCTGAGTGTTACCACATCTCCAAGCCTAACCAACAAGGGCTTTCAAACCGCTCAAAGAATGACTTAAGAACAACATTGACTAGGCAGCTCTGTAAGTTCAGCAGGGTGCAGGATGGCTGGTGCTCGCCACAGCACCTCTACGATACCACCAGTACAGGGAGGCCCTCAGACTGCAGGTGAAAGAAATTCACACGCACTCGCCAAAGGAGTGTGGGGGCCTGGACTCTGGCTCCAGCAGCTGACTAACTGGCTCTGGTTTTATTGCTTTACTTCCCTTAATAAACATTAAAAACTATCTCACAGTTTAAATGAAAACAGGCTGGAGAATCTAGTTTTCAAAACCTTTGAAATGTGTGTAAAATTTACTCTTAAGAAAAAGTTAAAGAGTGTTCCAAACTACTGTACCGCTGTAAGGCAATTACTGGCCACCCCTTTGAGACTGAAGAAGCAGCATAAAATAACCACAGTAACTGTTATATTTTGGCAGTGTCACATAAACCCAAGACTGCATGCACTAGTTTGGCTGAAAAGAAGGGCAATAGACTGAAACCTGTCATGTGATTGCTAAATTATACAGATGGATGCATTTACTGGGCAAACTTTCAAAATAGAAATTTAGAAGTTAAATATTATCTTACAAAAAATAGCACTTAAATGGATAACTGTACCTCTGACTCCCTTGCGGACAACTCTATGCCCTGTTAATTTAATTCCAGACAGTGCAGTGAATACAGTAAAAATATATCTACAATTTAAAAGTAAACTGGCCTAGCCAGGTGTGGTGGTACATGCCTGTAATCCCAGTACTTAGGAGGCTGAGGCAAGAGGATCACTGTGAGTTTGAGGCCAGCCTGGGCAAAGTGAGTTCAAGCCCAGTCTGAACTGCACAGTAAAACCCTCTCTCAAAAAGACAAAAAAAAAAAAAAAGAAAGAAAGAAAGAAAGAAAAAGAAAAGTAAATAGGCCTGGTTAGGGGCTGGGGATTTAGCTCAGCAGCACAGCACCTGCCCAGCAAGCGCAAGGTCGAGAGTTCGATCCCCAGTACTGGAAAAAAAAACTGAAAAAAAAAAAAAAAAAAAAGGCCTGGTTAAAGCATAACCACTGAAGAAAAATAGAGACTCCCCCTCCTATTAATCTTCTTATACAGAAGTTTCACAACACTCATAAAATATTTAAAACCCTGTTTTTGTAAACATAAAATATGCTTTTGTTTGTATAAGGCTGTGTGTAAGGCTAATTAGAAATATGAACATATATTTATATTAACTATAACAGAGTAATAGCCAATACACCAGCTCCTATGCCCTCTAACCAAGCAAAGTTTGGTATTATTAACTCTGAAATTTCTTTACTAGAAATCCTGACATTTATTCAAAAATACACATTCAATCTGACTCCTGAGCATATCTGCCCAATCACTATATATGCAGATGTATCATCTTTGTTAAATCAATTAAATCTATAATTTCCGTATGCCTTCCTTTTGCTAGCACAAGACTGATACTGTTTGGCCTGTTCTGTAATATGCAATCACTTTAGAGAAAATGAAAAGAGTTGCCAATAAATGTTATCTTTATTTACCTTTCCACAGTTAATTTTCATTTGGGAGAAGCAATAAACAAAGCAGCCACCTCTCCAGGCTATGAAGTGATTTATCTGCAGAAATTACTTGAGATTCAGATTTTACCTTCTACACCATTCTTCCTCTGCCCAGTGAGGGTCACCCAGCCCAGCTGATTCACACCACTAGGGTTCAGCTTTGCTAGGTGTTTAGAGGGATGAAATAAATAACTACTCTCTACCTCCCCCACCCCTACCGGGAGAGACAGAAACGAAAACTATGATACAGCACTAGGGGTACAGCTCAGAGGTGGAGCGCTTGCCTAGCACACACAAGGTCTCACTTCCATACTCAGCACCACAAAAGTGTCCGTGTGTGTGTGTGTGTGTGTGTGTGTGTGTGTGTGTGTTTTATGTATGCACATAAGTCCTTCAACAGGAAATATAAAGGGCATGCTATTTTTAAGTACACATCATCCACCAGTTTAGGCATGGTTGACAGCTGAATCTATAAAGGACATTAAACTTAAATCATCTCACAAAAGAAGTTTACATCCTGTTCCCAACTATCAATGAATTGCTGATACAAAAGAGACAGGAAGAAGCTATGTAATAGTTTAACTTCCTACATGTATCTAAGAAGCCTCCCAAAAGCATCTTGTTAAGCAAATCCTGGGAGTGAGGAGATTGGAACTGCTCCCCGGTGTTCAGCTTATAGTCACCATGGGACCCTGGCCCAGCCTGTACAGACCCTGAGTCTGCATCTGCCAGGTGGCACAGTTGCCCACAGTCCTCAGCCACTTTACACACAGAACTTAAGTCAGCTTCAAATAGCAACATAATCCTCTAGATGCGGCCTATGTCCTCTCTTCTGACATTAGAATGACATCTGTATAAAATATTTAGATGCACATTTGGTCAGCTCAAAAGTATTATACCCGGAGGTACAATATAAGGCAGGCAGAAAATAACCTAACAATTTTGTACTTCTACATAGAAGTACAAAACAAAACAAACAACAAAGGAAAGCTCCCTGAGGTTTGATTATAATATACAACTCTTGATACTAATTTTAATATACTACTCTTACTAATCTGATGTAAGAAATTAGAGGTTTGGTCCCTTAAAATTATTAAGAACAACAACAAAAAAATTTAATGGAGAGGCTTTTAAAAGCATTGCTTTTCATCTGCTGAGGCAGGTCCATATAGATTCATCAGTTTACAAACATACCCAATGCTCACTTTAGTCAATTTATTATCATCTAATTTTAATGAACAGCATGTGGCTAAAATTTCATTTGACAGTGTGTCTACTTGCAATAAATTGCTGCAAGTACCTTAAGGGCCCATAGGTAACTACTGTGTAATTCCTAAAATATTAATTTGTACACAATGGCTTGACGACAAGCTTAAAGGACTGAACACATGGTACATACTTAAAGAGCTTTTTGAACAGAAAACCTGGTACTTTAAAACCTTCATCAAATTCTGCATCACTCTCTTCTGAGTCGTCTTCAAGCTTCAGACGTTTCTCTTTGTCCCGCAGTCTAAGTTTATTCCACCTCCTGCAATAAAAATAAAAATCTTATTCCCATTATTTTGGTTACAAGACAGCTTAAAATAGTTTTACATCACGCACTGGCAAAAAACACACGAGTTAGAATAGGCTTTCAGGTTTCTGTCATCACAACACAAAACACTGAGATTCGAAGGAGAGAAACTCTTTTTTATTCCTGCCTTCCCAAGTTAATTCCTGTCTCAATGATCATGGTGTTCTGGAAATAGGTATTCCTGAAAGATCTCACTTCATTATCAATAGCTTGTTCTTCTTCCGGCATACCCTCAGGGAAAATTTGTGTGCCAGTTCCTGAGATAGCACGAACTTAGTCCCAGAACACAGCCAGAAAATTCTCAGTATAACAACTGTATCTCCAAAATGGACAGCTAGCATAACAATAAGCACTGTATTTATAATCATTACTTATGTGCTGAAGATAGGATAGTCAGTAGCTTAAAAACAGTATCTTGGACATAAATTTTGGTCAAAATTTATCTTTGGTCAAAATTACTGTATCAGATTCCTTTACTAAGTGCATAATTGAGGTGGAGACACAAACAATATGAAAGAACTGATAATTAAAGCACTCAAAAATATGTTCATTAAATAAATCTAGTGTCGTGAGTTTAGTAATATGCTTTTAGACTTAAAATAAGATGAACATACATATTTCAGGAACATGACACCACATATGTTTAGCAGAAACATTGGCACTAAAAGTTCTAAGTGTCACAACATGCCAAGGTGAAACCATTTAACCAGACTAATTTTGCATTCCTGTAACAATAATGGACCCTGATGTTCTGCGTAAAAAGAAATACCTAATAGCCTCGATTCTACTCACTTTCAAAATAAAGGGATGTGTTTTTTAGCACAAATGCAACTGATGCTCTAGATGTCACAAAGCAGTGGCAATGGAATAAAAACTTCAATGGAAAAGCTCACAGGAAGGTAAAGAGAGGAGCAACTTACACAAGAAGGTGTTCATCTGCCACCAACAATGCAAGAATACTACAGAATATCTGAGGATGGCAAGAGAGAAATCACAAAAACAAGCTTGCACATACTGCCAGTCAGGGGTACAACCCGTTTTCCTGGACCCAAAACAAAACCAGCACCCAGGCCACATGGCAGAGTGAGAAGCCCGCCCATTCCAGGAGCTGCTGGTGTCCCTTCCTCTGATAAAACTTCAGCAGTTCACAGTCACAAAAGAGAAGGCTTGCTGGGGTTTTTCTGTGATAAGTAAGAAAGCACTGATTGGTAGTCACAAACTGCTTTGCAGGGTGGTAACAGAGGTTATAACTAAGATCAATAAGGCAATGTTGGTAATTCCCAAACCATAGCAAGTGCAAGTAGTAGTATGCGGCCAAGTTTAGGGAAATAGGTCATACAACCATAAGGTTCAACACGTGATACTCTTTCAATAGAAAACTTAGTCCTTTCTGTGCTTAACTTCTAAAGGCAATCTTTTCCTTTTATCAGTATCTTTCTTCCTTAAAAAGTATCCCCATGCAATTATTAAAATGAAGTATCTCTAGGTGGCTATAATAGTCTTTGCTTTTCTTTGGAATTCTGCATTATTTGCCAATTTAGTTAAGGGCAATGGTGTACAACAGCAGTTATAAACAGGGAGCAATTCTGCCCCCTCATCCTGACCCCTCAGGTAATCTGACCACACCTAGGGGCATTCTTGGTTGTTCAGATGCACAGGGAGGACAGAGAGAGAGAGAGAGAGAGAGAGAGAGAGAGAGAGAGAGAGAGACGGGCAGCCTGCAGGGGGACCAGGGACGCTGGTAACAACCTACAACACACAGGACAGCCCCCATCCCCAGTAAAGAGCTATCTGCGCTCACATATCAATTGTGTCAAAATTGCAGTATACATGTACATATCCCTTACTAGCAGAACTGAGACACCTAAAGATGTGTAAAATTTTCTTGATGCTCTTGTCTGAATTCTTGTTATTTACTCCCTAACATTTAGCAGCTGAGCAGTTTCAGATGAGGTATCAGTACACAAACCCTTACCATCATAACTCAGCATCAAATATTTGCATAACCAAGGACACTTGTATTTGGCAAATTTGCAGAGAATGTGAAACTCAAAAGATCACAAAAGCTGTGCCAGCCACCTAAAAAGACTTCACTCAATTTCTCAGTGACTTCATGGGAAGAGAAATAAAAACACCAGAAGACAATGGCTTTAGAAGTTTGACACAGGAAAACCATTATATATTTCCCATATGAGAGTATCACATATTAAAACGTCACTGAGAGAGGATAGTTATTTCCTTAGGCGTAGCCAGTAAATCTTTGTGGCTGTTAAATTTCCCACCACATCACTCTGCATCGACAAGGTTTCACCTTCTTGTCCTGCTGCCTTTCTCCCTCTTAAAATATATGGGAATCATGTCTCCACAGAACCCAGCACCTAGGAAACCACAGAAGCCACCACAGAAATGATTGCATCCTAGCGCCTTCCGCTTCATAAAGGAAGATGAAAAGCACTGAACATTTATTCTGTTTGGCTAAAGAATGAGTAAAGGTGGTGGAGAAAATCATTACGGCCTACAAGCACCTGTATCATTGTGAAGACAAATCGTCCCAGAAGAGTCGTATACGCGTATTAAAGTCAGAAAATACCAGAGTTACAGAGCCGCATGCATGTGTGGCTCAGTCTGAGATTCCATATACACTGTAGCACTTCCTCACGTGGCTTAGAGCTGACAATCTGGGAATTCCCACTGAACCAGTGTGGAAAGAAGGTGCAGGAACAAGGTCGGCATGGCACACCTGGGTCAGGGAGGGGGCGTTAAAGCCACCTGAACACAAAGAGAAACGTGGAGAAGAGCCTTTCCTCTCTGGTGGTGCCAAGAATCTCCCAGGTACCCTCGTCAGTGTGATAACCAGCTTGTCCCACAGGCTAGCAGGCAGCACAAGCGAAGCGGGCACTGTGCTATGAACACACAGAGGCACTGCCTGCAAACAAAAGTCTGGGCACACACTGGCTGGGACCAAATCCTGCTGCCATTCACTAATGCTTTAACCTTCAGCATGGAACTTAACCTTGTTAACTGTTTGGGTTTCTTCCACTGGGAAGTGGAAGAGTGCTTAATGAGTTAAGACAGGATCGTAGGTAATCACATACAGGTGTTGGAATTCTCCTAGGGATCCCGCAAAAGCCACTATTAAAAGTTGACTTAGAGGAGGAAAGGTGAAATAATAGTCTGAAATGATCTCCATGTGATAACACAAGGCACATCATGTTTAACAGAACTCCCAGGACCTGTGAATTTGAATTAAAACTATGCAACCACTGGAAAAAATAGCACTGTTTTAAAATTCAGATCTCGGTGCAAGTGAGCTGAAATCTTAAAAATCAAGAATGGAAGGGGCTGGGGATTTAGCTCAACGGCAAAGCGCCTGCCTGGCAAGCGCAAGGTCGTGAGTTCGGTTCCCGGTACCGGAGAAAAACCAAAAAAAAAAAAAAAAGAATGGAGTGAGGCATGGTGACACCTGTAATCCTAGCACTCTGGGAGGCTGAGGCAGAGGAATTGCAAGTTCAAGCCCAGCCTGAGCAAGTTGGCAACAGAGAGAGACCTTCAGAAAAGGGCTGAATGGCCCCACCAAAAAATATATTATATATATTGTAAAATACACATGCACGTATCAGTTAACTGAGAACAGATGGAAGGGGCAGTAAACTGTCCAACATTTACCTTTTCAGAAAAGAAATTAACTTTTTCCTGTTCTCTATCCTCTCGTTTTAAACACTCCACATATGTAATAGTCACAGCTGCAGCCACATAAAACCAAGTGGGCCTGGTGTTCTCTGGCAGGATTTCCCCCTCCATGTTCAGCCCGCTGTCGCCTCCACTGGCAGCCACTCAGAGGAGAAGCCAGCAATAACCATAAATGTACAATTGCAATCAGAGCAGGCACAGGAAGTGCTCCCCAGCCACCCCACACGCGTGCAGGAATGAGACCCTGGCCCAGGCTGCCAGGCCTGGGGCTGCTGCTGTCAGACACCACCCGGGTCCAGCATAACCAGCTGAACTGCTCCAGGACCAGGGGACCCTACCAGGGTGCCTCGTCACTGCAGCCCGAAGATGACATCTTGGAGCCAGTCACCACCATTAAATAAATGAACGTAGTTTAAGACAGACAGCTAGAGAAGCACAGCTTGAACATGGTCAGTGGGTCACCCAGAAATGGTTCCAAGAACTTCCTGTTCTATCTAGCTTTGGGCCTGTCTCCTGCCCATTGTCCACTGCTCTACTGTGTGCCTCTAAGCCCACACCCAGCTCTGGCCACTGAGAAAAACCTAGTTGAGGCCAGCAACAAAAAACAACCCATGCAAGAGGGCAACTGCAACACTAGAGCAATTCTTAGCATCGTACAGCCAAAAGACAAAGGAGGACAGGAGAAGCTCATTATGTTGAGCAATAAAATTAAAATTAAAATTGTTTAAATTATTTTGAAGCCAGACTCTTTTGTTCAGGTCCACTTTGTCATGAACCCAGTTTCTGCATCCTGGCTTGGGAGAAGAATCCAGAGCTCTAAGTTTGGTTCCAAACTTACCCAGGACCACTGGGAAAGGTTGGCAAAAGGCTGGCCTGTTCGTGAAAGAATTCTTATGATGGAAAAAGGAGTTTAGCCCTGAACTATATCAACACCACCAGTAAGGGAATAATGTTCTGATGTTCCCATCTTAATTTTTCCCTTTTCTCTGTATTTCTAATAGTCACAGCTGCAAGCAAATAAAACGAAGCGAGTGTGCCAGTCACTGGAGAGTCTGCCGCCTCTGGTGGCCCCTGTCAGACTCCGGTGGCAGCTACTAGAGCAGAATCCAACAATAAACATGGATCTGAGACACCACTGAGAAGGGAAACCCCAACCTGGCCACAGCTATACTACAAGCCTTTTCCTGGGAGGGGCAGAACTTTCAAAAACCCAGCTTACCACTGCTGCATTTATCTCCACCACAAAATGTGCCAAATGATGGATT